TAAATATATTTTATATCAAAAACGCTTTCGGAGTGGCTTATATGAAATATATACGGCTAGTCTAAGTGGAAATACATACATGTTAAGAAGTAGCAAAAATGGCAAGCCATCCGGCACAATAGTTAAACTAGACTGGATTATCTTAGGAAATTAGATTGTAGATCATCAACGTAGATGATCTTTGTCGACATGATTGGGGCCCTACTCGAGTTAGACGTGAATGGTGTGACAAACTAGCTAACGTTGAAGTCACACCTCGCGGTCAGCACCTTACGTGGATTATCCCGTTGACGTATCAAGGCACTATAGATGCTTTGAAGACTACAACACAAAGATACACTCTTGTTAGTCACATCTAGGTAATTTTCACCCTCTAATCATGAACAGTTATATGTGTTGATAAGTTTATCATACCTTAGTACGATTTTGTAACAAACGAGGTCGGGCGCTTCTCCCTCAAACCACACAAAACACCCTAGGCTTCCCGTCCGAATAGGAGTGCGACTCTGCGTATCTTATCTCCGCAATCACTGTTCTCTTCCTCTGGTTATTCTACCGATACCGGTAACGATTATTCATCGACGCAGTTTGCCCAATATCTGACTCCAGTTAGACCGTATGATTGATTTTTATTGAAATACACATGTTTTCAATCCTCGTATATAATTGTCGACTGAATTTGCGTTAGTGAATAACGGAATTAAATAAGTCAAATACAAAAATGAACTTCGAATACATATATTCCATACAGTTATACACTAAAATTCTAGAACTATGAAAGAACACAAATCTAGTCTAAAAATATTTCGTGAGTCCAGAGATAGATTACGATTGATGGAGACGTTGTCCAAATGGGAAACTAAGAAAATTTGTGTCTCAGAACACACTCATAGTTCCCATGTTACTCTTTGTTGATAAACTCACCAGTATTATTTTGGATCGTCATCGTTCCTACTTGCATAAGTTGGGAAGGTTCGATAACAGTTCATAGTAACATTAACATTCTAGATCTTCGAAGCGATAAGCTAGCTAAGTGACACGAAGTTCATTACCTGAAAATAAACTATACTGAAAGCATACTGAGTTCAAAGCAATAGTCATCAGTATATCATAGATGAACTCCGCCTGTAGCTCTTCCAGAGTTACTGCCGGTCCCAAGCCCGGGTAAAGTAGGAGGGTTGGGCATGAGGTTAGAGTCTCCATCCCGCAGAAAACTAACTCACTAAAAAAACGCTAACCAGAAAAAATAACTCAAACCATTTAAACTCTGCCCTGGGAGTTAAAGGTAATATGACGCTTCATGGTGAAAGCCGAGTTCCTTCGGAAGCCACGAGGCCGATGCCCCTTCTAACAACCAGAGCAACAATTTTTATAGGTACATGGAACGTCCGGACAATGTGGGAGAACGGGAAGACCAGTCAAATAGCAACGGAAACGAGGAGATACAACTTGGCAGTACTGGGAATCAGTGAAACCCATTGGACCCAAGCTGGACAACAAAGGCTAAATACGGGAGAGACGCTGCTATACTCCGGTCACGAAGAGGAAAATGCTCCACACACCCAGGGAGTTGCTCTAATGCTGTCCAAAGTAGCACGAAATGCACTTGTAGGATGGGAATTTCACGGATCCAGAATCATCAAAGCATCATTCAAAACAAAGAAGGAGGGGATCACAATGAACATTATCCAATGTTATGCACCCACCAATGATAGCAACGACGACGTTAAAGATCAATTCTATGAGAGCCTGCAATCAATCATAGAGAAGTGCCCAAGAAAGGACCTCACCATTCTGATGGGACATCCAAACGCCAAAGTCGGAATGGACAACACCGGATATGAAGACATCATGGGACTACATGGACTGGTAGAGAGAAATGAAAACGGGTAAAGATTTGCAAATCTGTGTGCATTCAACAAAATGGTTATAGGCGGCGCAATATTTTCACACAAACGTATACACAAAGCTACATGGATCTCACCAAACTACACCACAGAGAATCAGATAGATCATATTTGCATCAATAAAAAGTTCCAAAGGACAATGGAAGATGTGAAAACCAGGAGAGGAACGGACATAGCTTCAGATCATCACCTGTTTGTGGCCAAATTGAAACTGAAGCTAAAGAAGAACTGGACAACTGGACAAACAGCACCACAAAGGTTCAATACAGCCTTCCTTCGAGATACTGACAAACTCAGTGAATTCAAGATAGCTCTCAACAACAGGTTCCAAGCCTTACAGAATCTACTGAAGGAAGAAGAAACTACTATGGAGGATAGCTGGAAAGGTATCAAAGAAACACTAACTTCAACGTGTCAAGAGGTTCTGGGCCCCAAGAAGCATCATCACAAGGAATGGATCTCGATAGGAACACTGGACAGGATCAAAGGAAGCAAGAACAAGAAGACAGCAATTAACAACAGTCGAACAAGAGCAGAGAAAGTCCAAGCACAAGCAGAGTACATAGAAGCAAACAAGAAAGTGAAGAAGAGCATTAGAGCTGACAAGCAAAAATACGTGGAAGAACTAGCAACGACGGTGGAGAAAGCCGCAAGAGAAGGAAATATGAAACAGCTTTATGATACGACGAAGAAGCTAGCAGGGAAATACAGTAAATCAGAGAGACCAGTCAGAGACAAAGAAGGAAGACCAATCACTGAGATTCAACAACAGCGGAACAGATGGGCAGAGTACTTCGAGGAACTCCTGAATAGGCCGGCTCCAATGAATCCACCGGACATCGAAGCAGCACACACAGATCTTCCTATAAATGTCAATCCACCAACGACAGAAGAAATCAGAATGGCCGTCAGACAAATCAAGAGCGGGAAAGCAGCAGGACCTGACAATATACCAGCTGAAGCGTTGAAGTCAGATATCGAAGTAACTACAAGCATGCTTCATCTTCTATTCAAGAAGATTTGGGAGGAGGAACAAGTGCCAATGGATTGGAAAGAAGGACACCTCATCAAGATTCCAAAGAAAGGAGATCTGAGCAAGTATGAAAACTACAGAGGCATTACACTACTGTCAATACCGGGTAAAGTCTTCAACAGAGTGTTACTGAACAGGATGAAAGACGCAGTTGACGCTCAACTTCGAGATCAACAAGCTGGATTCCGTAAGGACCGGTCGTGCACAGACCAGATTGCGACACTACGGATCATCGTCGAACAATCAATTGAGTGGAACTCGTCACTCTACATCAACTTCATTGATTATGAGAAGGCATTTGACAGTGTAGATAGGAGGACGTTATGGAAACTTCTTCGACGCTACGGAGTTCCTGAGAAGATTGTCAACATTATCCGGAACTCATACGACGGACTACAGTGCAAAGTAGTGCATGGAGGACAGCTGACAGACGCATTCCAAGTAAGGACCGGAGTAAGACAAGGCTGTCTACTCTCTCCCTTCCTCTTTCTTCTGGTGGTCGACTGGATTATGAAGACCTCGACATCTGAGGGAGAACACGGCATACGATGGACAGCTCAGAACCAATTAGACGACTTGGACTTCGCAGATGACCTAGCCCTCCTATCGCATACACACGGACAAATGCAGATAAAGACAGCCAGCATAGCAGCAGTCTCTGCATCAGTAGGCCTCAACATACACAAAGGGAAAACCAAGGTCCTCAAACACAACACGGAGAACAGCAATCCAATCACTCTTGATGGCGAAACTCTGGAAGATGTAGAATCCATCACATACCTGGGAAGCATCGTCGATAAACAAGGAGGTTCAGATGCAGACGTCAATGCGAGGATTGGCAAAGCTAGAGCGGCATTCCCTCAATTGAAGAACATATGGAACTCAAAACAACTTTCAACCAATATCAAAGTCAGAATCTTCAATACGAACGTCAAGGCAGTTCTACTGTACGGAGCTGAAACTTGGAGAACTACAACAACCACCATCAAGAAGGTACAGGTATTTATTAATAGCTGTCTACGCATGATACTCAACATCCATTGGCCGGGTACCATCAGCAACAGCCTTTTGTGGGAGAGAACCAACCAGCTTCCAGCTGAAGAGGAAATTAGGAAAAGACGATGGAAATGGATAGGTCATACGTTGAGGAAATCATCAAACTGCATTACGAGACAAGCGCTAACTTGGAATCCTGAAGGGAAGCGGAAAAGAGGAAGGCCAAAGGACACATTACGTCGGGAAATAGAAGCAGATATGAAAAAGATGAATAAGAACTGGAAAGAGCTTGAAAGGATTGCCCAGGACAGGGTTGGATAGAGAATGCTGGTGAGCGGCCTATGCTCCTTCACGAGGAGTAACAGGCGTAAGTAAGTAAGTAATACCATTGATGCAAGACTCAAGAGCTCAACACTCAGGGTCAGAGGGAAAGCCTCAGGATATTAAGTCAAAGAACGGTCCACCTCAATATAGTAACTGATAAAGTGTCTCATGTGCCAAAGTTACTTCTTCAGATCTCTAAATACTTTAAATTTGATGCATCACCTATGAAAGACTCGAAATGGGATGCTGCTTCCTACTAGTCAACTTAAGTCTTATCAAATGGGTTGCACATATGTGGTATCAATATGGAATTGTGGAGAATGTTGAGTTTCTCTGAAATTATGAACAGATTAGTGTTAGACCACCATTGAAAACATGGGGACACAGAGGAGTCCCATACTGAGACGAAAAGACCATCCAGTGCTTTAGGGTTTTCTGTGTTGCTCCAACACTGATCGGTCCATGATTTCAAAATCTGAATATGTTCAAGGAATTAGTACTGAGTTGATTACAATTTTTTAACCTCAATGAGTGACGAGTCATCAATCTCTTTTTCTCGTCTCCTAGTATGTAACTACCTGCTTCAATGATTGCAACACATTAACTAACCAACTTTTCTTATAACGGAAGAATGTTGTATTAGTGAATACTGATCCATCAGGATAAGTAACGAGAAGTCATGTTTGCTGTTAGGTGCGGGCAATATGGATGCCCTCCCGTAACCTTGGGTCCGAACCCTGATGACCCTAACCAAAAAACTACTGGAGGGGCTTGATGGCACTAATGATGAAAATGTAAGTAGAGATCTTGGATACTGTCAATGGATTTTGAAGCAAATGGATGTATTTTTGTTGTAGCTTTCGTTCTGAAGCATGTTAACCCAACACTCTTGGTTTTTCAATTCACGATGTTAATGCGAACGAGTGGGGATCTGCGTAACATACTTTCCTTAGGACCGTTCTGTGCCTTGTGTAAAATTCGCTTTATATATATGAACTCTGGTCATTTATTAGGCTTTCGTGGTTTTTATCAGTGTCTGGATCAAAACCATCAGTCCTTAACAGCTTGGAATGGACGGCAATCTTTCACTTCTTCAGTTGTTTAGAATCTAATGGGTGCTAAAACACGTTACATACTGTCTTACAGAAGTGATAAATGTTGTCTAATCATGGTTGCCCACATGTTACAGTGTGTTGGCATGCTAGTCTGTGAATAACGGTTTCGATGCGCTACTACTATGCCTAGTTTAGTTGCTTATTCAAGCTGGTCTCCAGACAAATATGTCCAAGACATTTGTATTTATTTATTTATTTATGTACTTCAAAAATGGCTATCAGTTTGTTTACTTTTCAGTTACGTTCTAGTGTGGTTCGTAATACAAGTTAAGCTCCTAAATGGAATGCCCAATGGTGCACATGGGCTCCAGTATCCTGAGGGAACGAACGGCGGATGAACCAATTGTTGGCCACCGGCTACCATGGGACTACATCTGCTCACGATGCTCCACTGCCTTGTGGGTCAGACCTTTGGGTCAAAGGCTCTGGGTGTGGCCCCCTATGAAAACCACCTGCTTTGGTTTGGGCACTCGGACAGTATCACAGCCCACACACAAATAACATTTTGTGTGGCGCATATATATTTAGTGCCCTCTTGTACTACTATTGTTGTGTTCAAATAAATAATAAACTTAAATGGAATTAGGTAGTTTGGGGGCTAACTGTACAGAACCTTTTGGAAGTTAAGCGTTTTAGCCACGGTATGCTAGGTAAAGATGGAGAATCGACTAATAAGGCTGCGAATCTTTGTTGACTAATGTAATCGGTACATGCATCACGTATGCCCGGTCGCTGTTTATCTCGATGTGGAATGCTGGCTAGCATGGCAGATTAATAAAAAGCCAAGATGTTTCGTCATTTCTTAAAGTCATTGACCGTTGGTCTGAGCTTTTTCGGTTGGTGCAAACTACTTAGTTGTGGCTTGTCAAGTAATAGTGACCAGTGATTCTGCACCTTAAGTAAAATGGAACGATTTTATGCGTAGTTGAACAGATGCATTTTTTCATTGTACTCCTTCCTGGTAGTCTTATTTTTGTTTCCCTGTAAAGATTCAATCATCAGTTAGGGGATTACTTATTCTTACCTCCTATATGTACTACGATCTAGGCAAATAAATATTGTCACTGACCATTGTACAAAATTCATTCGATAGCATATTATGCTAACCACTATTTAGTTACATTGTAATGATTATATATTTTGAAATGAACTAGGGTCGAGTTAAAGTTAATTATTCCTTTGTTTTACCCCTGTGTAAGGTGAAGAAACCTTAAAAACGGGATGACGACGGTATTTTGGACAAATATTAAAATTCACGCGAAATGTTCATTTTAATTTATAATTTTCTCCAAGTATTGACACTATAAAAGCTTTCATTTCCTGTTAAATGGATGTTAACTGGTGTTGTTAGCTTGGTATCCTTTATATTAGATTTCGTTCAATGAAATTTCAATTTTTTTAACTGTGGAAGGATTTGTTAAATAATGTTTTCAATTCAATACGTACTACTCTAAGATGGCTTCAACTCTGTTTTAGACGTGGTTGGCGGACAATGAGTTGACCACTTCAAACATTTTTCGTGTTCATATCTAACTAATATATTTTCCAATTTTGAATTAAGGGATTTCCTGTTATTCAAGACGAAGATTTTCAAGCTTCAGTTCCAAATCCCCTTCTTGATGGTAGCAATTTAGTTTCAAACGAACTTACGCTGATATCAGTTCGTTGTGAGATTATCCAACTGATACTTTAACTCACTAGGTTATTGTTAAAAGTGATGTTTCAAAGTCTTCATATTATCATGGAAGTTCGGAGCTATACCAGTTGCTGGATTTACTTGTTAGAAGTTTTGAAAACATCATTGGTAAACACGATGACCTAATTAAATATCTAGTTACAATGGATAAGGAAGAGTCTTACTTACCTATTTCATTTACGTCCCACAAGTTAGTGGAGGAAGTTGCGTAATCTATTTCCATTTCAGAAAAACAGTTGAAACGATTATGTCACTGGACTTCTGTTTAGCTAGTCATTCTTTAGCTACCAGCTCGTTCAATCTCCGAAAAAGACTTATGGAGTTAGTCTTGGACTCGGTAATTGTTTATCAGTATATCATTTAGATTATGGTTTGTAGAAAAACAACATTGAGAAGTTAACAAGTTTCAATCAGAATTTGTCTTTACTAGCCCGTCAGCTTAATGAAGCTAGTAATTTATTAAATGATAACATGGATGGACCTTCCACTACATGAAAACATAAGGAGGGTCAGAAATATTGTATATATTAACTGTTTTTATTCAAATTGTATACCATTAATATTTTTTAAGTTATTAGCTTTGTTGCAATATGTTGGTTATTTTATTAACAGTATTTGTTGTGCTCTATCTGTTAGTGAAGTATTCATCCAGATACATAGTCTTAACTAATCTTGACAGCATTTATCTTTACACGAGAATTATAATTAAAATTGAATAAAAGCTCGGTTCAAGGTAGTGCATGATTTAATGTTTATCCACTTATACAGTTCCCACAGTATTATCTCAGTTAAATGATCGGACTAATAGGTAGAGCTTAATCTAAGTTAATCTTATACACTTTTGTTTAATTGAAATTTACAACCAGCTTGATAAGCTTGTCGCTTCAAATAACTATCATTCTCAATGGTTTAGTACCATAGAAACGGTTCGAGTTGAAAGAAACTAGTAAGAAAATTGTATAATGAAGACGGCATTGTTCATACTGCTTATACATATGCCTCAAAGTATTAACAATCAAGTTACTGATGTTTAACCAGAGCAATTCATTGTTTATATATTTATTTATTCAAACATAAACACTGGTACAAGAAGGCATAAATCATTCGATTTATCTGAGGGCTGTGACACTGCCCGGGTGCCCAAACCGAAGCAGGTGGTTTTCTTAGGGGGCCACACCCAGAGCCTTCGGCCTGAAGATCTGATCCATAAGGCAGTGGAGCATCGTAAGGAGATGCAGTCCCATGGTAGCCGGTGACCAACATTTGGTTCATCCGCCATTTGTTCCCTCAGGATACTGGAGCTCATGTGCACCATTTGTTTGGAATCAGGGTTTACCAACTCCCCTAGGTGGACTCTCCATAACCACCAACCCGGTTAAAGCACCGGACACTCGCTTTTCGTTCTCTCAATTTCGTGAACAACACCCCCGCCACGAGAAGGCGTGAGTAGGAATTGCCTGGCAGAGGCTATATACGCGTGGCCATGTATGAGCATTTTGAGAAAAAGAGCTGACTGTCCCCACTCTCGGCCGTACCAGGGCATGTGGGGGCAGAGAGCGATTCATAAATCACATCTGATGTAATTTACTCTTTCCATGAATGCCTAACCTTCTGTACCACTCTAATGATACCTGTAAACTGGCGTGCCTTCTGGAATCGATTCTAGAATATGTATGTTCAGTTCTGCATAGTCGCTTTTATCATCTAAATAATTTTTTAGTGATACATTTATTTTGGTAACCAACTCATTGAGTTTCTTCGTATAGACTTATAATAATGAATTAGAGAAGACAATCCTTAAGAAACATTTTATTTCTTTGGACACTAATAAATGATCGATCGATCAATTAGTTTTAAGCATTGTAGGAGATGGCACGAATTGGCATCACTAAAAATGTCACACTAGAACGAGAAGATTAGTAAAATGAATAAGAGATTAGAATGATATCTGTAGTAGTGATAATAAGCTAATCATTTAATTCGAATGATTAAAAGATGAAATTAACAGGAATTGCGTTAAAATTCAAAATTTAAGGGAAAATGAATGAATTAATACATAAACGGCGCTTTGATCAAATCCGAGCAGAACCAGGAGATTGATTATCTCTGATTTGATTTTTATTGAATTGCTTTTCTTGTTAGGAGAAAACGAATTACACTTACTCCTTGCCATAGGTTATTTTCCATTTGTGTTGTATTCGAAGAAAATCGTTATACAATTTGGTTCTACCCTATATATTTATATATTATGGGGTATTTTAAATCCCTAGATAATTTGCCTTAATTTAATAATTTTCATGAAGTTGCTTGAAGGGTAAGATTTTTTCAAGTGGTGGAAGAAAGTCAGACGCGAAATCTGCCTTAAATTGAAAAAAAAAGCGATTGTCTCTGCCTATTGTTCATTCTCAAGGGACTTATCGAATACCCAACCAATCCATTTGATTCCTAGACCTTTGCTAAGACGGCCAGAAATCGAGAGTAAAAAAATGATATAGAAATTTACAAATTACAAAATGGATTGCAAGAGATGTTTAAAATATACATCTGATATAATTAGTGTTAGTGTTCAATAGTTAGAGGCTTTTGTGAAATGAATTTTCGAGTTAGTCTTCGAGTCGTGGGATATTTCTATCGTTGGGAAATTATTATTATAGATAGTTACAACTATGCTACTCATCACTGCAGCCAGAAATACTATGCAGCTAACCTATCTTTAGCTTCAAATAATATTTTGTAGTGATTTGTCAAGGATACTTATTTGCCGTTAGATGGTAACTAACGTCGTGTTATTTAGTCTCAGTGTTCAACAAAACCTATCCAATACAAATTCAAATACTTTCAATGTTGAGTGTCTTATTTTAGTGTCCAGATTGAAAATTTAATTTGTAGAATTAGATCATTAAATAATGTGAAACAATACGAGTTTGTTAATCGTTTAACTTCAACATCTATTTCAGTTGAATTATTTATTTTTGACCAGGTGAGTAGCAAAAACCAACAAGTTTCAGTTTCTTTGGCTTACTAAAGAGAATGAACATTGTAGGAAAACCTGTGAAAAACTTATAACTAATGGATGAACCTGTATGTGAATTATGATAAGAAGCAATTCACCTAGCCATTGGTTACTTATCTCCCAATTAATTACAGGCGTAAGTAACACTTAGTATATCTTTATCAACTGTACACACTCCGTTAGGCTTTGAGACAGGAAAATGATTGATAACAAGCATCTTCATTAATATAGGTCTTTAAACAGTATTCATTTGAGGAGACTCCAGTATATATCAAGTTATCAAAAGTCTTTTATTGTATAATAAATATATTTGTGGTTATCAGAGAAATCTAAAAAGCGCGCTTCGTTCCATTTAGGACTCATTTGGATACATCTACATTTCAGTGTTGATGTTCACATTAGGACTCAAACCCTGTGCCCTGTTTTATCCACCGAACTACTGAGTTCAGATAGCGACCCACGTACGCAACGAGTATGATATTTTTATTATTAAAAAGGATTTGAATCGTCCTGTTGATAATCTTAACTAAATTCTTATCAGTTTTTGTTGACATATGTGCATCCTGTTCAGATACCCTCGATAAAGTAATATTTCACACGTTTTTATAGAATAATTGTGCTCAGCTGTACGAAATTTCATTAAAAACTCATGTGATCTGGTAATTATCACGGTTCGTATTTATAATAGTGTGGCTATGGATGTGCACGTCAGAAGAATCCAAAACTAAGATAAAATTGTTGTTCAGTCCCTTCCGATTTTTGACGGTAACTTAATTTGTCAGTCTATGGTGAAAACTATGTCTAAACTGACGTAATATCCACAATATCATCCACTAGAACACTAAACATTTATTTAGTTTAACTATCATCAATAGACACGATTCTAAGCTTAAAAAACTATAGAAATCCTGGGCTGAATTGATGTGTAAAAATGAACTTGCTTTTTTATAAAGTAAACTTTATTTTCACAAAACAGATTCTTTCTCAACTAGACAATTTGTTCTACGTTGTTCTTGTTCTTGTTGATCTAAGTTCACTGTTATCAAATTTTTACCTACTTTGCTTAAAATATTTGTTAAAGATGAATGCTGTTCCAAATGACTCGTATTAGCGATTGGATTGTGATTGAAATAATTATCCGGATTATTTTCTTCAGAATCAATAAGTTTATCATTTGGGTTGATTACTCGTAAAAATGGTTGTGTTTTGTTTAATGTTGTTACATTGTCAACTGTATCAAAATATACATTTGTTTGACATTCTGATATATTACGATAAGGACCGACCGATTCCGATTTAATAAATCGTCTTCGTCGATTTGGTGATGAATCTAACTTTGGTAGGATCACATACTGTATTTCTGTATTGTTTGGTGATATTGCGTGATAATTTTCATGTTCATTATAATTTGAATAGTGATCAACAACGGGTATAATAGTTACTTTATGATGTGCATCTTCCGATAATCGGTTGATGTGCTTTCTTGGAGTGGTAATAGTAGTAGTAGTGGTTGTGGCTGTTATTGCTTTTAGATAACCTTCTGTATTCAATTTCGTATGAATATTAACATTGTTATTAAGAATAGGCTTTGCGGTGGAGTGGTTTTTCATTTTTAGTCTATGTTTATTATCACTTTTTGGCACTTTAGGTTGAGATGATTGACCTGATTTCCTGGTAGATCTTTTTTTCCCCTTAGGATACTCACATGGATCTAATGTTATTATTTTATTCTGAAAATGATTCCCGTGCAAACTAAGAAAATAATAAAAGTGAAATGTTAGTACATACGTTTATGTATAATTTTCTAAAATCAGTTTAGTCTGACTAGTTTTCTAAAATGTTGATCACTGTACTCTATTTATTATTTATTTGAACACATAGATATTGGTACAAGGAGGAACCAAATAGTGATATGCGCCATACAAATTTCATTTGATTTATGCTAGGGCTGTGACACTGCCCGGGTGCCCAAACCGAAGTAGGTGGTTTTCTTAGGGGGCCACACCCAGAGCCTTCGGCCTGAAGATCTGATCCATAAGGCAGTGGAGCATCGTAAGGAGATGCAGTCTCATGGTAGCCGGTGACCAACAATTGGTTCATCCGCCATTTGTTCCCTCAGGATACTGGAGCTCATGTGCACCATTTGTTTGGAATCAGGGTTTACCAACTCCCCTAGGTGGACTCTCCATAACCACCAACCCGGTTAAAGCACCGGACACTCGCTTTTCGTTCTCTCAATTTCGTGAACAACACCCCCGCCACGAGAAGGCGTGAGTAGGAATTGCCTGGCAGAGGCGGACTCTCTCCTCTCTATGTGTTCAAATGAATAACTAAATACTATCAATTAAATGATGCGTATACTGCGCAGTAGTTCGCTCTTTTTTACTTCATGGCTGCGAAACGTGGCCATTAAGGGTAGGAGATACTCGTAAGTTACTCGTATTTGATCGCAAATGTCTCAGAAATTTTGCTCGAATCTTCTGGGATCACCAGGAAAGTAATAGTGAGATTAGACACAAGGTATTAGAGAATGATGCTAAATCAGTTGATGAGGTTATGAATCTATATTGACTGAGATGGCCAGGCCACACGTTGCGCATGCCCAACCACCGATTACCACGCGTTGCAATGCTGACTAGTGTTGGAGACGGACGGAGGAAAGTTAGGGGCAGCCAAACCATCACTAACTTCTGGTCTGAGCCATGTTGGTAGGTGCAGACTATATGGTTGGGTCCGCGCGACAATCGGAGACTGGGTGAAATGGCTCAGAATCGATCACAATGGCGTAGGTGTATAAACTCTTTGTTTTCCCTTACCTGATGCCTTTCTTTCTACGAACTCTTTCTCTCTATATCTTATTTTAATATGAAGTTTTTTTACTACGATTGAAGCAACTGTTTCCATAAATTTGGTTTTCGTCTTGTGCCAATGAGATGTGGAAACTTGGACCGATGCATATATGTGCCTGGTCCTACGTTGTAGCTGACTGATTGGCTTGAGTCGTGATGACACATGGTTCATATAATTCAGGATCTTTAAGCCTTTCAAAGTAGGTAATGTAAATAAAGATAATGTTTTCCATGATAAAATCTAGTCTTATTAAATTAGATGAAAATTTCTAGTTTACCACACATCAACTCAAGACTGATTATGTTTATATTTTTGTTTATAAACCAGTATTAATGTACTCGTGCCTAGTGTAAGTATGAATACTCTCATTACAATTGGTTGATATTATGTTTTAATTAAAAAGGGGAACAAAGGTTTAGTACTTGAAGAACTCTTTCATCAATCGCTTGGTTTCAGGTTCAACCTCAGCTTAACCCACTTCGATCTAGGTAGCTGTTACAAATAAGCTGAGTGCTGAAACCTTTATTTAGTAAAAGAGTTTTAAGAGATATGAAGTGAAGCTTAGCTGAAAAGATTAGATTTATAGTAAGAGTTCTTATTTGAACATCATTTTTACTGGTTTACTTAAATAACATTTCTGTAGTCTATCTTAACAGAAAATACTAAGCTTTGGTTAGGTTACAATTAATGGTTGTGTCTCATTTACAGAATTCTATTATCCACTAGAGGTAGGTTATTTTAAATTTAGGAAAAAAAACACTCGAAAATTCTTTAAACACAAATTTTATGTCGATTGTAATGTTTTTATTTATAAACTTGTTTCTTTGTGATTTATTGGTTCAAGACATTCAGCTTTCAACTAATGAGTAACATTTTTAAACGTTCCTTCTTTACCCAGTTGCTTTATTTTGTCTATAATTCTACTTTGATATTCATACAGGAACTAGCATAGTTGTAAGGCCATTACATGAACCAATGTGTGCTCATTAATTAACTACAAATGATGTCTAGCAGTAAAACTTACAATTAGAACAAATAGTTTACTTACTTATTGCATTGTTTAATTGGTGAATTCTGCTTTTGTAAAGATTTTTGCAGTTCATCCAGTTGATTTTGTAATAATTCAACTTGTTTAGCATAGTTTTTTGATTTTATATCACAAATTGGATTATCACATTTATAATTAGCAAGTTTTACGTTCATAATCTGATTATTTTGTTCAGACAAGTAGCATGTATGATTCGCAGTCTAAATGTAGAAAAATTTATGTAAGGTAATCATGGTTGATTGACAAAATGCTAATGCTAATAAAAATAATCGACCAGTGTTTAACAATAATATATTGCGAATTAATTTATCGTGAGAAATTTATGTCAGTAGACTACTTGTTTTAGTTTATTAACACTAGTAGTCTCCACGTGTTGACTTTAGCCAGTTAACCAACAGAAATCAGGCAATTGTGCACAAGTATTTTGATGTTTACTGTGTATTTACTCTTTCTCAGGAATTGAACTCAAGAGCTTCAAAGGAACGGGTTACTTTTAAAAGGCTGTCCTGGCATCCAGTGGTTCACATTTATAAATACAGTCAGCTCATGTTGTTGCTCAATAATACTTCACCACAGGATCAGAACAACTGGGTAATACTGCCTGATTTCGCTTAGGTGAATTCACTCCATGATTTAGCAATCTTTGCGAACCCTCTATTCCATTGATTAGCTTTGTGTTAATAAAAAGATTTCCATTGTATATATGTGATTCACCTGAAAATTTCAATAATTTTTGAAATTATGGTATACCGTAATATCTTTATGGGTAGTTTTATTCTCCTTTCTGTAGTAAGCTAGTTAGATTATATTTTTTAAATTAGTGAACAATGTTGCTTTGAGGGATAAATTTTAAATGACGTATCCTGTAATCAATCCACTACATAACATTAGAATAACAATCAGTGTTTATCATTAAATGTGAATAGGAGTTGAGAATGTTAATGGTTGCACAACTCCCAAAAATATCACTGACGTTTTAGAAGGCGTTTCAAATTTCAGTTATGTTCATATAAGTTTTTCCACTAATCTTTCCTAGCTTTCTTATAGTTTGTCAACATTGAGGAGTAACGTGTCCATATAGCATACACAACGTTTTTGTGATTTATCGACTATTATTTATTATTGCCTATTCCTTCTTATTAATTCTTTTAATTTATACCTATACTTTTGTGCCAAACAGTTTACAACATTTTGCATGACCTTCAGTCAGTCAGTCAGCTGCAACGTAGGACCAGGCACATATATGCATCGGTCCAAGTTGCCATACCACATTAGCACAACAAGATGAACAGCGGATTCATAGGAGTGGTGAAGTCAATGGTGGTAATTTATAAAAGAAAGATTGCATATAAGGATATAGTACAGGAAGAAAAAATTAGTCCGTAGAAAGAAAGATATGAAGCGATTTTAATCTCTTAGTTTGAAGGAAGACAGAGTGTATACACCAACGCCATTGTGATTGGTTTTGAGCCATGTCACCAAGAGTCTCCAACCATTGGTTACGATAGTCACGCGAACCTCAACCAGGTAGTCTGCATCTACCAACATGGCTCAGACCAGAAGTTAGTGACTTCAAGCACTGATGCCACGTTTTGGTTTGGCCGCCCCTAACTTTTCCAATTATCCCTAACACCGGTTAGCATTGCGCGTCGTGGTAATCGGTGTTCATGCATGACCTTGAATTTTATCTGTTGGATTGATGACGAACACTCTGACTAACTTATAAATAGATATTTATAATCTAACAAACAACCAGATAATTTTATTCTCATCAAATACAAATATTCTCTTTGCTTTTTCCGAAAATTTGTTAGATAGCTTATATGTATTGAAAACATTGCGTGACATTTTTAACTATTTCAATCAAATAACATGTGACATTTAAATACTATTATATTCCTAGTTCAAATTTACCAAATTAAGTCTACCGAACCAATTGGCTTGATTGATTTTTTGTAATTTTGGTTTTGCATACCAATAGAATGTGTATTCAATTAACAAGAATACAGTGCAAATAAGCATTCCGCAAACAAGTAGAATGAAAGCACTGATAAAATTCTTAACTCCTAATGTCTTATTTGTATTCCCAACAGCAGCATCTTTTTTGCATGAACCTGTTTGCCAAAATTTTTTCCAACGTTGCAATTTTCCTAAACAAAAGAGTAGACATGAAGTAATAATGAATAACACAGTCAATTACTGTTAAGTGATTGCAAACTCGTCTCAGAGAATCATAAATAAAACTGCAGGCATTTAGTATAATATACTTATTGAATTTTTTTTCAGGCATATTAGAAGTACATCATTTACTAACTAAAGCTTAATCTCATCGATCTTAAGCAAAACAAACATTACAATGGGTATCATTACCAAGGTTTGATTTGATAATTTCTAATAAATTGGGCATTGGGTAGATTGTTATAAATAAATAATATATTTGTAATATCCCGATGAGTAGAAAAATTAGATTTTCTGACATTTCGTGACTTAGTGTAAGTCACTTCTTCAGAGAATAAACAACGGAATTAAAATTAATCCAAGTTTAAATACTACAACGGAACAATGGAAGAATAATATTTTATCAATCAAAAACAGGTCTGAACAGGTTGATGTCATATCATTTTATTCTCTGAAGAAGTGACTTACACTAAGTCACGAAACGTCAGAAAATCTAATTTTCTCCTCATTGGGATATTACAAATATATTATTTATTTAAGACATTACAATGTTTAGTTTTGACTTCTAAAATAGGACTTGGCTTTGTTTCTACAATAGATTTTAATGGCCATTACAGAAGTATTCATCGTCTAGAAGCGTGAATTGAATTTTTTAAATCTTAGACACCTTTACTTTTTTGTGATCTTTTATCGTCTGTGCATACGGTGACTTTCTAGAAATTATAATACAAATAACGTGAGTTTTAAAAAAGTAAGTGCGAGTCAATCCCTAAACCAATGTTATTACCGAATTCACTTGTTGATATGATCCAAGTTTACAGGTTGATCACTAAGTTAAGTGATGTGACACAACAGTTTGATAAGATTGATGTTATATGTTGAGGGTAAGTGCTCTCAATTTAGAATTTGTGAACGTAACTATTTTGTTGGTCTTCAGTAAGAGGTATGTGTAAGGCATATCTGTGAAGTCAAAGGATGTGAACCTATGGATCACATTACCAAATGTGAAAAATTCAACTACATTTTCCATGTTTGTACCGTTTTAATCTACAAGATATGCGAAGTGCATCATTGAGATGGTGGAGAAGATTTGTAGCTCAGGTGGATGATTTTGATGGAGTTTTGTTCTCTGAGCTGGATGGTTTGGTCGTGGAGCTTTCATCGTTCTTCTGAACGACATCATCAGCACAAACTTCAGATAGAAGTGAAGTGTTCGAATTTCTCCATATGTGTTTCACAGCTTGTTCTGTGCACCTCGATGTTGATTGGTTCTTATTGACCTTAAATTTGTCATTGTTTACTTTTTTGTCTTTATTTTGTCCCCTATTGGTTTGATTCTTGTTCCTATATTCGTGCATAAGTTTCCTGATTGGTTGATAAATCGGATCAATTTCAATATGTTTGTTGATTGCTGATTGACCTGAGTGCCAAGCTTCTAAGAATTCTCTTGTGTTTTTAGAGTTTCCTCTGTCCAAGATTTCCACATTTTTCCAATCGAATGTGTGTCCACAGTTGTCCACGTGTATTGATATAAGTGAGGAGATATCATGCCGTTTGACTGCTAATTGATGTTCATGTAGGCGCAGGTGAAGGGGGCGTCCGCTTTGTCCGATGTAGTGTTTGTCGCAGTTGACACAATTTATTTTGTAGATGATGTTTGATTTATCTTCTTTTGTTATTTTATCCTTTGGTTTGCATAGAATTGACTGTAGTGATTTTGTCGGTTTGTGTGCCACACCTATTCCGAAGGTTTTTAGCAGTCTTGTTGCGGTCTCTGATATGCCATTTATGTATGGTAGTGTGATCCGTTTGTCAATTCCTGTGCTTGATTTGTGTTCTGATGCTGCATGTGGTTGGTATTTTTTGATGAAGTTGATTGGGTAGCCATTCTTTTGAAATACGTCCTTCAGGTATTTCTCTTCCTTTCTTCGTGCTGCCAGTGTGCTGCAGTGTGTCCTCGCCCTCTTGAACAAAGTTTGTACGCAGTTGATTTTATGTGCTCTTGGGTTGTTGCTATTGTAATTAAGAATTTGATCTGTGTGGGTCGGTTTCCTATATACTTGAGTTTCTAGTTTTCCTGTATTAGTTCTAGTGATTAATATATCCAAGAATGGTAGTTTGTTGTTTGTCTCCTGTTCCATTGTGAACTTGATGTCATCGAAGACGTTGTTGATCAGTTTGTAAGTGTTTTCTAGCTCATTCTTTTTGACGATGACGAATGTGTCGTCTACATAGCGAATCCAGATTTTTGGTTTGATCACAGGTAGTATTGCGGCTTCTAGTCTTTGCATCACTGCTTCTGCGATCACTCCTGATATTGGTGACCCCATTGGTGTCCCTTTCGTTTGTTCGTAGATTTTGTTGTTGAATTGAAAATACGTCGTTAGGCATAAATCGATGAGTTCTAGTAGACTTTTACTTTGAAGCTTTGTGTACTTTGTGAGATTCGTGTCGTTGGCGAGGAGAAGGGAAATAGTTTCTTTCGCTAACTTTGGTTCAATTGAGGTGAATAATGTTGTTACATCAAAGGATATCATCAGTTCGTCGTGGTTGATTTGAATGTCCTTAATTTGGCGCAGGAATTGTGTAGGAGATTTGATAGAGTGGTTGGATGAATCGACTAAATGTTTCAGTATTCGTGAAATTTCTTTTGATAAATTGTATGTTGGCGTTCCGGGCAGTGCTACAATTGGACGTAGTGGAATGTTTGGTTTGTGTATTTTCGGTCTGCCGTAGAATCGAGGGAGTACTGGTCCATTGGATTTCATTCTCCATTGATCTTGTTTTGTTATTTCTCCTGCTTTGACTAGCTTGTTTAATGTCTTTGAGATTCTGTTGTCCAATTTCTTGACAGGATTTATATCTATCAGTTTGTATGTGTTCTTATCTTCAAGTAGTTGTTCGGCTTTTTTGAAGTATTCCTCCTTGTCCATAATTACTGTTGTGCGTCCTTTGTCCGCTGGAACTATGACAATATCTTTTCTAGTTCTAAGTTCCTTCAAGGCTTTTTGTTCTTGTGGGGTCAGTTGGTTGTTTTCCTTCACCTGTTGAGTTAGCGGTACTATAGTTTGCCTTATTTTTTGTTGTGTCTCCTCACTGAATCCAGAAGTTTTGAGTGATGACTCTAGTGCTGCGAAGAATTCTAGTTTTGAGGCGTCGCTTGTGTTGTAGTTTAATCCTTTTTGGAGTAAGTGTTCTTCCGTGTTTGTTAGTGGTTGTTTTGATAGATTGATCACGCAGTTGTTTGTGTTTTCTTCCTTGGGTGCTTTTGAGATCTTGGTTAGTTTTTTCTTTAGTGTGTTCCTTCTTTGTTCTCTGTGTCGTTTGCATGATATCTCGATGGCTGTTGTCAAGATTTCTAAATGTTCTGACGTGAGAGTCCTTTGTAGCTTCACCTTTTGTTCCTCTATGACGTGTTGGTATTTGTGGATTCTGTAGTGTGCATCTGTTATCATTAGGTGTACCATTTTTCTTCCACTTTGCTCAGCTATTTTCCATCCTAATGGGCAGTTGATTGGAGGTCTATATCTTACACTTGTTGGTAGAACGTGCTGGCGAAGACACTCATGGAGAAAGTATAGTTGTTCTCGAGTGGAAGCTTGCCTTTTGGCGAAATTCTCCCATTTTCGAACAACGAGAAGCGTATCACGCTCCACGACCAAACCATCCAGCTCAGAGAACAAAACTCCATCAAAATCATCCACCTGAGCTACAAATCTTCTCCACCATCTCAAAATCATATGAGCGTGATACGCTTCTCGTTGTTCGAAAATGGGAGAATTTCGCCAAAAGGCAAGCTTCCACTCGAGAACAACTATACTTTCTCCATGAGTGTCTTCGCCAGCACGTTCTACCAACAAGTGTAAGATATAGACCTCCAATCAACTGCCCATTAGGATGGAAAATAGCTGAGCAAAGTGGAAGAAAAATGGTACACCTAATGATAACAGATGCACACTACAGAATCCACAAATACCAACACGTCATAGAGGAACAAAAGGTGAAGCTACAAAGGACTCTCACGTCAGAACATTTAGAAATCTTGACAACAGCCATCGAGATATCATGCAAACGACACAGAGAACAAAGAAGGAACACACTAAAGAAAAAACTAACCAAGATCTCAAAAGCACCCAAGGAAGAAAACACAAACAACTGCGTGATCAATCTATCAAAACAACCACTAACAAACACGGAAGAACACTTACTCCAAAAAGGATTAAACTACAACACAAGCGACGCCTCAAAACTAGAATTCTTCGCAGCACTAGAGTCATCACTCAAAACTTCTGGATTCAGTGAGGAGACACAACAAAAAATAAGGCAAACTATAGTACCGCTAACTCAACAGGTGAAGGAAAACAACCAACTGACCCCACAAGAACAAAAAGCCTTGAAGGAACTTAGAACTAGAAAAGATATTGTCATAGTTCCAGCGGACAAAGGACGCACAACAGTAATTATGGACAAGGAGGAATACTTCAAAAAAGCCGAACAACTACTTGAAGATAAGAACACATACAAACTGATAGATATAAATCCTGTCAAGAAATTGGACAACAGAATCTCAAAGACATTAAACAAGCTAGTCAAAGCAGGAGAAATAACAAAACAAGATCAATGGAGAATGAAATCCAATGGACCAGTACTCCCTCGATTCTACGGCAGACCGAAAATACACAAACCAAACATTCCACTACGTCCAATTGTAGCACTGCCCGGAACGCCAACATACAATTTATCAAAAGAAATTTCACGAATACTGAAACATTTAGTCGATTCATCCAACCACTCTATCAAATCCCCTACACAATTCCTGCGCCAAATTAAGGACATTCAAATCAACCACGACGAACTGATGATATCCTTTGATGTAACAACATTATTCACCTCAATTGAACCAAAGTTAGCGAAAGAAACTATTTCCCTTCTCCTCGCCAACGACACGAATCTCACAAAGTACACAAAGCTTCAAAGTAAAAGTCTACTAGAACTCATCGATTTATGCCTAACGACGTATTTTCAATTCAACAACAAAATCTACGAACAAACGAAAGGGACACCAATGGGGTCACCAATATCAGGAGTGATCGCAGAAGCAGTGATGCAAAGACTAGAAGCCGCAATACTACCTGTGATCAAACCAAAAATCTGGATTCGCTATGTAGACGACACATTCGTCATCGTCAAAAAGAATGAGCTAGAAAACACTTACAAACTGATCAACAACGTCTTCGATGACATCAAGTTCACAATGGAACAGGAGACAAACAACAAACTACCATTCTTGGATATATTAATCACTAGAACTAATACAGGAAAACTAGAAACTCAAGTATATAGGAAACCGACCCACACAGATCAAATTCTTAATTACAATAGCAACAACCCAAGAGCACATAAAATCAACTGCGTACAAACTTTGTTCAAGAGGGCGAGGACACACTGCAGCACACTGGCAGCACGAAGAAAGGAAGAGAAATACCTGAAGGACGTATTTCAAAAGAATGGCTACCCAATCAACTTCATCAAAAAATACCAACCACATGCAGCATCAGAACACAAATCAAGCACAGGAATTGACAAACGGATCACACTACCATACATAAATGGCATATCAGAGACCGCAACAAGACTGCTAAAAACCTTCGGAATAGGTGTGGCACACAAACCGACAAAATCACTACAGTCAATTCTATGCAAACCAAAGGATAAAATAACAAAAGAAGATAAATCAAACATCATCTACAAAATAAATTGTGTCAACTGCGACAAACACTACATCGGACAAAGCGGACGCCCCCTTCACCTGCGCCTACATGAACATCAATTAGCAGTCAAACGGCATGATATCTCCTCACTTATATCAATACACGTGGACAACTGTGGACACACATTCGATTGGAAAAATGTGGAAATCTTGGACAGAGGAAACTCTAAAAACACAAGAGAATTCTTAGAAGCTTGGCACTCAGGTCAATCAGCAATCAACAAACATATTGAAATTGATCCGATTTATCAACCAATCAGGAAACTTATGCACGAATATAGGAACAAGAATCAAACCAATAGGGGACAAAATAAAGACAAAAAAGTAAACAATGACAAATTTAAGGTCAATAAGAACCAATCAACATCGAGGTGCACAGAACAAGCTGTGAAACACATATGGAGAAATTCGAACACTTCACTTCTATCTGAAGTTTGTGCTGATGATGTCGTTCAGAAGAACGATGAAAGCTCCACGACCAAACCATCCAGCTCAGAGAACAAAACTCCATCAAGAAGTGCATCATTATTTTGAGTATAAGCTTCTGAAACTACCTTACAGAATGTAGAAAAGAAAATCGTATACATTGATCTGACTTACCATTTTTTTGATAATCCAAAATGCGTGAATTAACTTTCGTTAACCATCGACTATTTTTAGCAAAACCAATTCCATAACCCGTCATTGCATATAAATTTCCAACTGTACGTAACTTACAACCTTCATCTTTCATTGCCCAATAATCCAATACATTAGCATCGTATAAAAAAGCATCCAGTTGTCTAATAAGAATTAAAATAGTGATTTTAAAAAAGAAAAATCCTTAAAAAGTTAACAGATTTATATTAAGATCACGAAATGATTCAAGTTAAACAACCATTAAAACACGAAAGCACTGAAAGGTCTTTGCATCCGGTATGGGGCTCATGAACTGTGCGTATCCACGACCCTGAAGCCGAAAATCAGATTCGGAACCTACAGTTTCATGCGTGAACGCGTAACCTCTAGATCACTGAGCTGGGATTCAGTAGTATACAAGTCTAACTTCAATCAACCGATGGTACTACCTGACCAAATTGCATTGTCTTCAATGTGTAACTTTCTCACATTCAACATAGTTGAACTCCACTAGTCACTGATTTTTGCTTGGACTTTGGGAGTTTCCTATGGAATCTAGTCACCAATGAACACATGATAATTATCAGTATGGGGTATGGCAACTTGAACCTATGTGCATACGTACCAGGTTCTACGTTGTGAATGACTGACTATCTGTATGGGGTTATGGAGACAACTGGATGGGCACTGCTTTGATTGGTGGCTAGTTAATAATAATTCCAGTTACTGGGAAGTTAATAGTTGGAGTAATTTATATATATATATATATATATATATATATATATATATATATATATATATATATATTACTGTCCTAACGTATAACAAAATTGTAACAAGCTGCAAATAGTCCAGTACAATATGATGAATAAATGCCATTTGATAATGATAATTATAAATCCTAAATATTTTAAATGAAGTTTTTTAATTTCAGTCATTTCTATCAGAGAGTAAAACTTTGACACAAATATGGTTGCATATTACTAGTCAATATATATATCTAGACAGTCTCAATTTTAATCTGATAATGAGTTTTATTTTGTACCATTCAAACATTTAATCATAATTGTAAAAATTTTATTTTTAGCTTATGCATTTTTTAAATAGCCCTGTAAGCATTCATTTTTTGCTTCAGAATAAAAATAGGATGTTCTACATAAATTGGTTGTGATGTAAAAAATTTCGTCTGAAAATTGATGTTATCTATCTTTATGATTTTATCTGTTTTTAATAATAATAATAATAATAATAATAATAATAATAATAATAATAATAATAATAATAATTCATGTATGTACTACTGTATGAACAGTGGCTACTTAACCAAAATCTTGTCAATTATTCGTCAATAAATAATCATCAGTTGTACATATATGGATGTACTTGTGTGTGTATTTATGTGTTTGCATAGACTGACATACTGGAAGAATTCCTTGACTGTTTTATACTATTTATAGACTTACTTATAAAGCATGTTTGCATATGGGTTAGGTTTGAAATAGATCATTCTGATAAATACAGGTGGATTATGTTTCAGTATTGTGTGGACGGATTATAAAAGTTTTTTCAAACGATTTCGAAATCGCTTCAATATAAGGTTTATCAGTGGTAATTTTAAGTCAGATGTGATTAATATGATGTGTCATCAGGAACGCTAAAATTTAATAGGTAAGATATTATGGGGAAGAAGGGAGTATATAACAGTAAATTGGTTACGTTTGTGAGTTATAACATCCTAATTTTATGACGTTGTAAATTCCGTTTATATATTAAATTACTGATTATCAATTGATACTCAATTCAATTAATTGAAATCTGACCATTATTTAGTGTAAATAGAATGTAAAAGTCACTATGTTTAGACCTAATTTTGGATGTTTTTGGCGTATATTAAGTTTTCACCTGTCGTATTTATCTCCTCCCTTGAGTTGAGCCACATCAATTTTACTTTCCATTAAAACAGATACGGGCTAAAAGTTATCTAATATAATTTCAATGGTTGAGATCATGAGTCATTTGAAGCTAGACCACTATGGGAAACCTGGAAGCACTGGACAGTTGTTTCGTCCTATTGTGGGACTCCTCAGTAGTGCGCATCTACGACCCAGCCTTGCGGGATTCAAACCCGGTCTCGCGCACGAGCGCTTAAGCACAAGAACATTGAGCCGGCCGGCATCCAACAGTGTTAATGTATAACTTCAACTAATCCACTAAATTGAGCGATAAATCCACCATTGTCATCAGCGGGTTACTATCTCACAACTGACCCGGTCTAGCTTCAATTGACTCATGATCTCCACTATTAAAATTACTACAATCTCTACAAAACTCCTGATATTTATCTAATATACTTTAATAGAACAATTTAATTATTCTGAACTTCACTGTTAACCGTCATTTAACAAAGTACTAGTATATGTTTAAATTAATTACTAACCATGTCTCTGAAAACTGAAACCAATCCCGAAGTGAGCATCAACTATGAGACGCAGATACATCTAGCTGACGAGTCCCACTTAGGACGAAACGTGCGTCCTACATTCCACTGTTAGCCATTATCCGTCTCATCCTACAATCCTTGATTGTTTATATTTTAAAAACGATACATATGTGGTCTTCACGATGGCATGAAATCAGCTGAGAACTAAGGAATATTACACGGTTGTTTCATCTTCACTAGATCCATGCACTAAAAACCTTTCACTGAATAGAACCCAGGACCTTCGATTCTTTCTACAAACGTGTTACCTTTAAACCACTGAGTCTAGTGATCCATAGTTTCAAAAGTAGTCATTCTGAAGTACAAGGCGACTAACGTTCTGGACTTAATCCTTCGTTAGGTTATAGAAGCGTACTTCTGAGAATTCCTAATCTAGGATAAAAGAGCTATCAGGTGCTCCTTGGTTCGCATTACCTTCCCATTTGATATCGGTTTATAATAAAAATCATCTCATAAACCTTGCGATTAGAGAATGACTATCGTATACCAGATCACAATCTTGATAATTATGTGAAACATGTTTTCTACTTATTAAGAGTTTTGAGAAGTGTACATACCCTGATTTCATTGCCTTGAGACCGTCTTCAACATCGGATTTATTGTATTTTCTCATGTATTTGTACATTTCAGGAAAATTGATTTTGATGTTCTCTTCTGTAGCACCACTTGGTATAGTGGCAAATCTAAATGGAGGTTTCACATTCCATGGATGCTGCAACTAAGTGTGTAAAGAAGACTTTGTTTCTAAGTTATTAGAATGAATAAAAACAAGATGAAATTTCAATGACTGCATAAAAATGTTTTAAATATTCTAGAAGTTATTTTTACTCTCTATTACAATTGTTCATTTCTATTTTGGTGGTATTAAGTTCTCTGAGCTATGTGTTTTCTTTTCGAAACTTCCTTTGTAATTCTAAACAACTTGTTCAGCGTCTGCTTCCTGACGACGTTTACTTTTTAATTTCTTTTGGTTCACTAGTGGACAAAGAATTAAATTTGTGATATGATCAGTGTTTATGCCATTCTAGTAATTGTTGTAGATGTTATGACAAGAGTAAATGTATTTCGGTAGACTTCACAAGATGTGTATGTTCTAAATGTTTAATGACACATTTTCATTCAAGTTTGGAGTTCAAATTAAAGCTTACCTAATATTAAGTTTATACATTAAATAATTTTTCTACTTGAAATCTGTAATGGAATAGAAGCAAGCAAACAGTACAATCAGTTGACAAGTGGGTGAAAATGTTTTTAGAACTGCTAGTCCTTTGCTGATTTGTACCTTCTCATAAGTCAACACTGAATTCAGGTAATAAATGAGATTTCCACTTTTGTCAGTGTCAGCCAGTCAGCTACAACGTAGGACCAGGCACATATATGCATCGGTCCAAGTTGCCATACCGCATTAGCACAGCAAGATGAACAGCGGATTCATAGGAGTGGTGAAGTCAATGGTGGTAATTTATAAAAGAAAGATTGCATATAAGGATATAGTACAGGAAGAAAAAATTAGTTCGTAGAAAGATGAAAATTCACAACCTCATCGACTGATTTACCAGCATTCCCTAATACCCTGCGTCTAACCTCACTATTACTTACCCGGTGATCCTAGCAGATGCGAGCAATATTTCTAAGGCATATGTGGTCAAATAATAGTAACTTACGAGTATCTTCTACTCTTAAAGGCCATGTTTCGCTGCCGTAAATTAAAACAGAACGAATTGCCACGCAGTATACTCGTCCTTTTATTGATAGACAAATATTTCGCCTTTGCCATAGGTGACGTAAGTTGACAAAAGTCAAACGAGCTCTCTGAATCCGTGCAGAGCTTTCGTCAGACACCAACCCATTAGGGCTGATCAGACTTCCAAGATAAGTGAAGCTGTCAACGCGTCCGATTACTTCACTCCCTATCCTTAGTTCAGGTGTTGACGCAGACCAGTCCTGAAGCAACAACTTGCATTTAGAGGGAGAGAAGCGCATCCCAAACATTCTGGCATTGTTGCTTAGTGCTACCAGAAGACTGCATTTCATCAGCGTCTTCACCAAACTGGACTATATCATCTGCGTATTCTAAGTCGACAAGTGGACCTCCTAGTGGGAGATCAATACCCGAGAATTCAGTCGATGAGAGCGTTATTTCCATCAATAGGTCTATGATGAAGTTAAACAAAAAATGGAGAAAGTGGACAGTCTTGACGGACACCAGTTGAGGTTGCGAAAGCAGATGAAAGTTCTCTATAAGCTCTGACTCTAGTAGTGTTCGAGTAAAGAGTTTTTTCAAGATTTATGTACTTCTGACAGACACTGCCACAGAACCTCTCGGTCAACAGAGTCAAATGCTGCTTTTAAGTCAAAGAAGACCACCATTGTCGGATCCCGATAAGTATGCCTGTGTTCTAGAACCTGACGAATGGGGAATATGTGGTCGATGCAGCCACGACAAGATCCTCAGCCAGCCTGATTTTCACGTGTTTGCAGTTCACGAGTCTTATTTAGGCGTCCGATAATTATCGAGGCTAATATTTTAGATACTATATTAGTTAAACTAATCCCTCTATGGTTGTCACAGGACGATTTTGACCCTTTCTTAAATATTGGAACAATAGGCGATTGCGACCAGTTAGATGGGATAACTCCCAGATTTTAACCAAAATATTAGTCAACTTAATCGATAAAATTGGACCACCATACTTAAAGACCTCTGGAGCCAATCCATCTGGACCAGCTGCCCTTCCTCGTTTCAGATTAGCTATAGCCTTTTGAACTTCAGCTAGAGTTGGAGGACCTACTTCAATGTTTCATTCACGCTGTCTGGGTATGGTAGGTAGTTGTAGGGTAGCTGAAGACCAGCTGAACTGTTCTCTAAAATGTTCCGCCCATCGTTCTAAACGTCTGGACTGGGAGCAGATGAGAATATCGTCTTTTTCCGAGATAGTCTCACTTACACCTGACTTTTTAGTTCCAGTTTCTTTTATGAGTCTGAAGAATTGTTACCTATAGCCGCCGCCTTTTCCTTGTCTTTTGCTTTTGTTGCCCAGTTACTGCTCACGACCATTCCTAAGACTTTTGCTTAACCTAGATCTGATTTGTTTGCGCTCTCCATCGTGTTCAGAGCCTGATGGGATGAGTTTACGAGAATCCATCAGTGCAATAGACCTAGAAGAAATCCATTGGTTCTTTGTAACCCTTTGGTTTAAATCACTAGTACATCTCACTGCTGTAACCTACTTTTGGTTTTCTCGTCACTCAATTCAGTTCTAATGGGTTTATTTAATGTGGCTTCTTTGCGTCCAGTGAAGCGCAAGCAGATGCGTGCCCGTATTAGGGCATGGTCGAAGTCCAAGCAGGTACTACAGAACGAGTGACAATCTTCTATCGACCCTCTCCAACGGTGACTGATGGCAATATGGTCTATTTGAGTCCATCGTTGGTTTGGTGCAGGGGGTCGCCATGTTAGAGGATGTCTCTCCTTATGCTTAAAATTTGTGTTTTCTAAAAATAAACGGTTGTCTGAACACAGTTGCAGCAGACGATCACCACTATCTGTTCGCTGAGCCGGAATACCAAAAGACCCACCTAAATGCCTTTTTGTTTGATTTAAACTACCTATCTAGGCATTAAATTCACTTGCTATGAGTACTATGTCTGAACGTTTAGCTTTCTGAGAGAGTTTTCCGTAAAATTCATCTTTCACTTCAACCGAGCTGCAGTCAGTGGAAGAGTAGGCAGAAACGACGAAACGGCAACGACGTGTGTTCCTATCCTTCCGAGTTCTTACGGAGCCGTTTAGCCGAACAGCACATAAACGACTGTCAACGGGGATACATTCTAATAGCGTTTGTTCCGCCCTCATTCTTAGTGCTATGCCTACACCTGTCAGTTCACGAGGACTGGCCATCGGGTCACCAGATACACGGAGGGTGTATCTCATCGGCTCTCCATTTTGCCGAGGTGAGATCAAGTGAATGAGCACACTAGGATCTTGTATGCGCGTTTCGGAGACATAGCATACACCAATGGTACGAGATTCTAGGGTTTTAACCAAGGAGGCCTGCTGACCGATTTGACATAGTGTGCGTACGTTGAAGGCTCCAATGTGTAGTTTGGAGCGAGGTTTCAGTATACCTGGTACAGTGTTTTACGCACTAGAATCGTTGGCCATGATGATACTTGAGGAGGAAGCCAAAAGGGGAGGTTTAGATTTGAAAGTCGATGTAGGAGGAATAATAGGGACTGAAGAAAGAAGTTGATTATGAATACAGTGGTTTTGAGTGCTGTTAGAGATGTGAGGGCGGTTGTCACTTTCCGGTCGCCCACACCGTGGAAGGGCTTCGGAAGTACCTGAAAAGGAAATTGGATTAGAGGTGGTCTTGGTGACCTGAGAGTGTGACCGCAGTGCCCAAGGGACAACTGCTTGTTGTCGGTCACACACGACGTTTTTATGAGTAATTTTTGTGTTAGCTCCGTACTTGTTGAGACTTTACCTCTGGAGACGGATATCCGTGGAATAAGGCGAGGTGTACATTTTTAGGGTCGACCTTTTCTAACCCCACCCCTCCTTGTGGGAAGGCAGCGTCGCTGTTATGCTGGTTGTCTGAAGAAAACACCTTACTGCTGTCACACCTCTGTACAGTCAGCAGTACGACATCGCCTTCGGACCTTGGATTTGTTGCTTTTAGACTTACCGCTCTTCAACCGACCTGTGTGGCATGGTAGGACCTTGAGGAACGGTTGTTCCAGCCAGTATAGTTCAGTTGCTTCATCACGATAGGCAAGCCCGACCAGCACGTCAAGGTAGCAACTATGGTCAATGTCAAAATCTGGGATATTCAGATTTTTTACTAAACATACGATCATTCGTCACTATGAAATACAAAAACCTCTAAGGTACTTGATAACAGACTTTTTCTCTTAGTTGGTTACTCTTTAGCATGTTAAATTTTGATCTACATTTACAAGGTATAAAGAGTTGTTTGTGTTCAAAGTCAAAAGGATATAAACCAGGCGTATTTCATAATGCAGTCGTTTTACATCAATTTCGCGAAACCACAAAGGGTTTTATGGGATTCCAAGAGCTCTGGCAAACGAATAAGAGATGGTATCGATGACTACACTTGATCAGACAAATAGTAGATCGTCGTCTAATCACAGTCAATATCCCTCACTCACTCCATGACTGGTTCCATCGGTTCCATCTTTATTAACACACGCATGCATACAATTACTTATTCACTGACACTTTCACCAAATACAATATCGTCATAGTTGTTCCTTTAACAGCTTATTTGTTCCACATAAAGGTGTATCTCCCTCGTAGATATTCAGGGGTGAATTTCGATCAATCTATAGTGGCTTATGTCCACCATATGCGAATGTTTCGACATTATCTGTAGTTACAAAATTTTTTGTTATAAAATATACGACCGTTTATAAGAGATTTATATAATGACCCTTAAACGAATTACAGGTTATCTACAGTCAGTAGTTTATTGTATTATTCGTTGGCTTTTGTAACAATAAGTAATGGGTTTGAGTCTCAGTGTGAATCTGAACATCGGTACCAATCCAGTAATCAGCTAATATATTAATTAACATCGTTTTGTAACTTTCCTTGTGAAAATCATTTTTTAACTGCTTCGGAGAAAATAACTACAGTTCACTTTTTATGTTTATCATAAATCAGTTTAATAAAAGATCTTTGGATTGTAGCCCACTAACTGGGTATATATATACCTCAATGACACGTTTATCTAGATCCAGGAGTAATCTATCAGAATGTGAAGTTGGGTAATGTCGTTTTGAATCCCACAGAAACCATAAGTTCTCTCAAGATTGAAGGTACGCTTTGCTGACGAGTGCTAACAAGCACGAAACTTAGGTCCAGGGTTTCCTACTGTCTACCTTGAACCACTTAATGTAATAATAAACATGATAGTAAGTTTTATTTGTAATCCAGAGTTTCGCTTTACATCAAAAAGATCTTTGTTATGCGCTTGTAAGTGAGAAAATTGGTTTATTTTAATAAATACTGGTTTGTAAAACATGATCGTTGCACATTTTATCGTAGGGTGTGTTACATTCAAGACTTATTATGTACATAAGTCACCAAAACAAATCACAAGTCGCTTCAAGTTTTTCCATCTGAACACCTAACGAGATAATCAATGCAACTTATGTGCTTTATGATGAAACGATATTTTTATTGTCAAGATCTGTTATTCATACCATTATGGTTTGCTTAGTGTATATCAGTAAATGCGCTTTTTGTTACTTCTAAACTTTTAATTAAATTTGAGATGAAATGCTATAAAAATTACTACAAAGTTATTTTTTTTAATATATGAGAGGTGTGTTGCTTTGTAATAAAGTGTTTAAATACTAGTAAGATGGAGTAAGTCGACAGGGAACTATAAATCTAGGTTCTGTAATCAATGGCACTTCAAGAATCTTCAAAGCACGTCAACTGCAAGAAGTGGAATCAACGTTACCGAGTACTAAAGTTCTAGACATTACCTCTGAGCAGTTAGGGTTGCTATTATTCTTCTGTAAACTTGAAAGATTAATAATAATCGATCACTAATTAATCTGTTCGATAAAATTTGGTCAAAATCACGCACGAGATAACAATGGCTTTTACAAGGTAAGTGATTAGAATCAATAATCAAATATTGACATATGTGGTCCCATTTTTCTAGCAAAAGTACAAATCCTATTTGGAACATCAATACTACGTTAAATATGCGTAAATCCAGCTTTCTACCAAATTATCAAGCTCAGCAAGCGTTTGAATTATCACAAAATATATCGAAAACGGATAAAAACTAAACATTCCGAGCAAAAATGTTTTCTTGTATTTCGATTTACCTTACAATTTCATACTATATGGAAAATGAACTGTTTCAATTGAATAATACGTACAATAATATCCTTGGTAATTATTGCAGATTCTATGCCAAAATCATAACTGTAAATAAATGGATTCTCACTGGTGAATCAGATATAATCTACTAATCATTTCCTAACTCAGACAAAAAATCCGTTATGTAGTAAATTAATTTCTCAGTTAACTTACACGCCAATCATTTATGCCACTCAAGTCAAAATAATCCTCTTTAGCAATCATAAAAGCCGCTAAGTTAGCCGTATACGATGCTAAAAATACAAGAGCGAATAATGCCCATATATTGGCCATAAACCGACTAGCCATTCCTCTTGGATTATCCGCATTTACGGCAGCGCCAAATAACATTGACCAGATAAGCCAAAGTGAACGGAAAAATGAAAATCGATGATCTTTTAAAAGAAAGAACAGCAAAACAGTCATACCCGACTTAAAAACAAAAAAATTGGCTGCTAAAACAATGCTGGAAATATTTGATTTATAAATTAATTTCTTTAGCCTATACATGACAGCCTTACTTAAATTTTATATATCATGGAATTACATTAAAAGACCCTTATTCTACAGTTACTTGTTTTAAATGATATTCTTTGGATTTCATCCATTTTTCGCGTGTATAATGTGTTATTTTAACTGGAAAAATAACCAGTTTTGGTGGCTAAATATTTCGCCTTATTTTGCCACACTCATTCAGTACCCTACTTTGATTAACTCAAATTTCAAGAGAAATCTTCACTCTCCTAAAACTCACATTAGTGACCGTTGATCGATAATGACCAGATTATGAGTGTTTGTCATTAAACCACAGTTTTTTAGCCCAAGGGGTTGTTTAAACTAAATTTAGTAGAGCTGAGTTCTAACCTACAACTTAATACTTAAACGTATAATAATAATAGGTCATAGTTTGATGTATTGGTTGTTAATGTTATTTACAATTAAAACCTAAAAATAAAGGCATTACTGAAAACCTGTACTAATAGGTGAACTAGATAATGATGATATCGTTCGAAAAAGTAATAAATACTAACCAAAATTATTTGACTATGACTAAGCAAAACTATCTCAATACAATGTTGTAATTTTCCAAACACTTAGTTTTTACATTTCAAAAGACGAATAAACTCACTTTGATCTGTTGTATGTCCACGATTCATTCCATTTGGACTAAACCATTCATAAATGTACAATGCTGCACCTGTTGCATGTACACTGAATACCAGGATTACACACCAGCATTGATAATCGTACGGTTCTATTAAATGAGAAAAATAGTAATGTGAGCGTGCTACTTAAATCAAAGGTGGATTATGAAGATTTTTCTGTTATTACCTAATTTTTACATCTGTTTGATAAGAGGACATTAGATACTTATTTTTTTCTAGTTTGAGCTCTCTCAGCAGCGCACACTTTGACCTCATATAAGATTGAGAACAAGACCTTATTATAGGAAGTGCATAATACATTTGTACCAGAAAATCAAAACCCACAACTATCTTCTATTCCTATCGGTGATATTTGTAACGTAGTTCAATACTGCTTGGTTCCAGATAATTATTTCCTGGATAATCAGTCTTTGAAAAAAGTAACCCTAATCAGTTTATGGGAATAAAAATTCAATTCACATTCTAGTTAATATTCAGTGTTTAGATTAAGGTGGAGCGATGTGGCAATAACATATACTACACTGATGATAATCAAATACACTGTACTTAGCCTTAATAAATATACCACACTTCATAAATTACTTTCCTAGTGATTGCCTTAAATTTGTTTCAATTAGACGGGTTGAACACATGTTCACTTACGCTATTCTGCCATCTCTCACTTTCTTGTATTGTTCAAATGGAACATTAATCGCTTTTTTTAAACCGCACTAACAGACAAACCATATTTTCAATTTTGCTTAGTAAACTTATCTCTGGCTAGCTTTTAATAACTATCTAAATATAAATTCGGGATCTGTCAAAAATAAACCAGTAGAATCATGGAAAAAACATTAGTTGACGCATTTTATTTGATATGTAGCAATATATTATAAGCTTCCCAAAACATTTTTGGATTTGTAACATCATAATTCTTTTAAACTATTTAACGCAGAATATGGATATCAAATGATGTCTTTATCATTGAAATGTCAAATGTAACTATAAACACTATACAACTGTCTAGGTTATGTAAAAATCAGTCAAAAAATTAGATTGCGTATTCAGTTAGTACTAGTACACTACTAATTTGGATATAGTAGTTAGTTTTTGTTTGAAAGAATCCAAATTTGTAATTATTTTTAACATGGTTATATATAAACTTCAAATATGGATTGTATACATGGAAGCATACTACACTACCTCTTGAACTCATAAGTTTGGACATGTATTTAAGTTTATAAATATCAGTTTTCGCATGTTCATGTTGAATATGGTTAGAAATGAGTCAAAAAGTCAAAGAGCTGTGGAGTTAAAAATAATTATTACTTTCAGGTACATGAGAACAATCTCTCTTAGTTTTATAAGATCTTTCAGTTTAATTCTTTACAATATCATCCATAATAATAGTCTATGAAAAAATAAGTAAAGCTTTCCTTTACGCCAAAAGCTAGTAAATACCATCACAAGAATTTTAAAACAATTAGTCTTTTTCATAAATTTAGATAATACCATAAGAAGACAGATTTTCAGAACTAATGTGATATATCAGCTGAATACATTTAGAACAATCTGATCGCATGTACATTTATTAGGAATATTTATGTATGAAAAACTAGAGGTTATTTAGACAAATGAAATGTAAGAGGAAGCAAAGATAAGATAGAGAATAATGTGGAAAACAATGTAGCACTCATTATGCTGGATAGTAAATTTATAACTAGGGTAGGTTTAAGGTAAAAGCAAATCGTTTCTGAATACATAAAGCAAGTTAGGATTTTTGAATAGCCAAGGCTTCAATAAACCTTGGTATACTCTTTTAAACTTTTGTACAAAACCAGTAAGACCAAGTCAATATCAGTCCTATAACCTGTTTCAACTCTTCTACAACGAAGGACGATGACGTTATCATATGCTTTCATTAAGTCCTTTGATCTTATTTGTTTTGGTAGCTATTTTGGTGCGCGTTCAGAGATCCTAACTTGCAAATCACGGTATATATAGCTATGTGACCGCACACATGTAAATTATTAAACAGTGAGATGTAATACAATCGATTACGTGCTGTTTAAGTTTTTGGTGAAGCATAACCTGTGTTTTTTTCAATGATAATTACCTCTTCTGCATAGTACATTGTACTAACAACTAATTTGAACCTTTGTTTTGACACACAGTTGTTTAACTCATTTTTATACAGTAAGGTGATGTGAACAGGCTTTTTGGGTGCCATAGCTACATCAGGTCTCGTGATACTCTGACGTTCCTATCCATTTATTAGCTTTAGCGAATACCCATTCTCCATTTTTTCAGTTATCATTTCATCTTCAAAAGTATCTTTTGTACGAAAGCGGCCAATCCTATTAAATAGACCCTTCATCAAGCCCACTTTTTATTGAACTGGCCAGTGATTATGATAACTAAGATATTGGCCCGTCCAAATTGGCATTCTGTAGACGGATCATCTGATTAAACCACTTCTTCTCCTTTCAAGTATACCCAAGATATAAACCCAGTTTGTCCTTTTCTCTTGAGAAAAATATATGGTTTTGGGGAGTGTTAGATTGGTTCAGTTATCAATTCACATTTGTTTTATCACAAGTAAGATTTTATCCACATATCTCTCATAAGGGCACGTGTTTTCGCTTAGCACTTCAGTTAGGTTCTCAATATATCATAAAATCATCAGGTAATAGTGGTCCTAACAGACTATCCATAGTAATCCCATATATCTGGCGAAAGTATTCACCTTCAAATGTGCATATTAGTAGCGAATCTCTGAGATCAATTGTTGAAGTTCTGCCGAGACGCCTTTATCTTTGCAATTTAACCAGTTTGAGACTAATACATATTCACTATGATTGAAGTTGATTATCGAACCGTATCACGAGGGAACTGGAGCTTTAAATATGGGTCTCTAGGCCTTGATTAAGTGGTCTCAGATAATCGTGTTTACAATGGGACCTAAATATCCTGCAATGAATACCGTGCAAGGTGGTAGATATACACTGTATAGTATTCCCGAATTCGAAGAAGACTACTATCTGGTGCTTATTTACCTGAAATCAGTCCACGATGAAAACTAAGGTCAACTACTTAAAATATTCCACAAAGAATCCAAGAAATATTCAACTTACTTAAAAAAGCTGTCGGAGCTATAGCACCTTCTCTTAAAGCCACTGCAACTGCTATACCTGTTTCTAGAAATGGTACGCTAAATTCAATTTGCTGGGATCGATTAGGTGTGATCTTCAATGATGTTACTGCCATATCAGCTCTATTGTCCATTAGATCACGTATAATACCATTCCATCCATCTGGCTTTCAAATAGAAATGTTGATATTTCCAAAAACATAATATTGTTCAGTTAATTAAATGACAATAAAACCAATTAAGGTTAAACTATTGCTATACTGAATTCATTTTCAATTGCGTTTATGAGCATGATTACAGTACTTACGGTAAAAAGTTTTTAGAAAAGACCAAAAAAAGATTTTTACATGGTATCCTAGATGACATCCGAAACCTTAGTCTAAAAGAAAATTAACTCTTCAATACTTAGGTGGACATGAACTTGTTATCTTTGAAGTCTTGAAAATTATTAACAATCAACAAACGTTTGTTTTCAGAAGTCTTTGTAATCAAACGCTTGTGACGCAACTTATGTAAAAAAAACCGTGATGGGCCTCATTGTTTGCTATTAGTTCATGACTTTAGATAATTCGTTACTCTTAGGCTAGTCTTTGTGGTAAATGTTTATCAGCATTTGCACACATACCACAGAAAATGAATTTGACCGTTGGGAATAATGTTGTAATTTGACGAAGATATCTTGTCTTCCACATCAGAAAGCCAAATGATTAAGGCTTGCATAAACAATTCCGTTAGCACATAAAAGATTATTTTTCCATGAATAGATAAATGGTAAATATCCATCAACAGCGATAATGAAAAGGTATTTTTGTAATATGTCGAAATTTTGCCGAAAGTTTATCTTGAAGCGTATACAAGTTATCGAACCCTGACGATTCGTATTTTAAGATGTGTGTTCAACCCACCGAATGTTATTAATGATGAACAATATCCCTCCAACCAATAACTATTTTATCTTACCATCATTATATTGTGTTCGGCTGTTACCGTATAAGTATTTCCATCTTTTTTCTTACTTTGTCCACAGTGTCTTCAAGGCCATATATTTCACTATGTGAACATTGAAAGAAGATAAAGGCTTAAGTATTACTCATAAACTCTGACTTACAAGGAGAAATACTTCGGGAAACAAAACGATTGTTTGATTTTATGCTTATCTTGTATATCCGTCTCATCCTTGCATGAGACTCTTCTGTGGTGCGAACCTACAGCTTATTCACCGATCAAAACAAACACCAGTTGGGAAGTATGTCGTTGAGGAACCCCATACGAAAAAGAATTAGCTTCCTGATTCCCAGTAGTTTCCTAGTTGACTCCAGTCTGTGACAAAAACTAACGTTTATTATTTGTGCTTTTCATTTCAATACTGCATAGCTAATCTGAAAGACTAAATGGTTTAAAGTTTTTTGAATGATAAAATGGTGTCTGAATCTCAAGTATGAGTAGAGGATAGTTATATTGAATTGTATTCTATCTACTTGTAAGCATTCTTGTTAACTTTAATAATGATTTATTATGATATTTGTTATCTGATTAAGTACTTCCATTGTGTTTAGAAAATTATGAATACCTGAAAAATAACCAAACACTAGTTCAAGAAAGAAGTGTTTTTTTTCTAGTTTAAGACTATTTTCAGTCAATTTGCAATTTAGCGCAGCGTTACCCGTTGTCATCGATCGGTATGGACTTTCTGATAAAATTTGGAGACATTAATTTCATCACCAGCCGCTGATGAGCGCACCATTCTTACTAAATCTAAAAAACAAGCTCTATAATTCAAAGCTTTTGATTGTAGCTTGTCGAAACGGTATCTTTTAATTTTGTAGACAATATTTGTAATGAAAAACTATTAAAATAAACTATAATGTTAGCACTATTTTTGATAACTTACTGTCCAAGCCCCCCAGAAACCATCCTTAACTTCATACATTTCAACATCGAAATTCAAGTCTTTCATTAATTCCATTAGTAAGTCCATTGTCAGTCCGGAACAACAACCATCTACATAACTAATTGAATTATTCTCATTTACATTATATAATTCTAACAAATTGCTAACATTTGCAGTTAGCGATTCTGGTTTATTTTTTTTGTTGACATCTTTAGTATAAGAATTTAAACCAAGTGGACTTAAAGTTTTATGGATGATTGAATTCTTTCCAGAAATATCTTCATCTTGTAAAGACTGTGGTCTGAGTTTGCACGGAATGGAATTCGCATCACATGTTCCTCCTTCCTTGTAATTGAATTTAGAGAAAAGAAAAAATGGAAATCACGTTTGAATAAAACACCATCAAGTATTTAGTTCTTGCTTTAATTTGATTTATTTTAAGAGCTAGAGATTAAAATGTTTGAATTCGACGGTTGCTAACGTCATTGATGCCAAGCCCATAATAATTTACGGCCAACAAATCATTATAAAAGAAGAATACAATGCATATTTTTGGACAGTAAAGTTTGAGAGGGTGAGATAGATTATTCATCGGAGTTAACAAAAAAAAACTGTTTGCGAGTAGTACAGTATGTAGTGCGGTGACACTACCATTAGCTTCGATGGCTGACCGTTTACTTTTATTAAATTTAACTTATTAAAACTACTGATGTTAGGTTTCAAGTGTCAAATATTTATCACTACAGAAGATATAAACTTGCTCAGTTCACAGTTATAATAATCACTGACATCGCAATAATGTAATTCTTCAAACTATAAAGATCGTTTGCATTGTGAAAAAGGCCATACGTGTTTTAAATTCTTCAGAACGCTGTTCTAGAATGTGGGGGTGATACTTTCTCTTTAGAGTTAACCGTTTTATAAGAAATGTCACGAAAGAATCCATTGTTATCTCAAACACTTTTTGCATATATATATATATACATATATATATATATATATATATATATATATATATATATATATACATATATATACATATATATATATATATATATATATATATATATATATATATTGTATATAACATTCAATTTGTTTAATAATGTATTTTTTTAGTGAAAAGAAAATGCGAAGGTCTATATTATTTGTATCGTGTATTACATATTCACAAAATAAAAGTTTAAATTTGTTTTAAACAGTTTATAATAAAGTTTACGACGTGATTGTCGTCTGTTTTTCTGTCTTCATATGTTTTAGATGGTACGTTGTGTGTAGAAAGAAATCAACTTATTTACTGCTATTATCCATAGGTTTAACTGATCCAGATTGTTGGTGAAACCTTTTATTATCAATCCTTATGACGTTTCAATACATCCGCTTGTGATTTAAGGATAACTTTGTGTTTCTGTATTTCAAATCATCTGCGTATTTTATCGAATCAAAAAAGACACTTTATTATGATAATAACCATTTACAAAGCCAATATGAATTCATATTGTTGAATATTTGTTTTATAATCATAAGAATTATTCTTTAATTGTGAACAACTTTGTAGACGAATAACAAAGTATAAGAGACCTAAAATAAATCACTATAACTGGTTTCTTACGATTACATTAACTTTACAACTTCGTCGTTTTTAGTATTGATTAACACAATAGATAATCATAGTGTTGAAGTTATGTAACTTCTGTAAAGTAGGCATATTGTTTCTAGTGATTTGTTGGGGAAAAACAATTTCATTTTACAAAGACTTACACATATTAACCTTACAAAATGTGGATACTAATATTTTAATTGATAACCTTCCTTAGTTAAAAGTGTGTAGTATATTCTTACTTGGGCTTTGGTATAAATAACAAATGGTATTTCTTTAATAGTTACTACACGTAGTTTGAATTTACTTGGTCGACCTTTAGGTGGAGAATTCGATGCACCAGGCCATGTTACACCATCTATTCTTAATCTTGATTTACTTCTACCCCATTTACTGCTCATTGACCATGTTCCAACCTATATGAAAATTTATTCAGAATACAAATCAGTGATTAGAATAACGTTCTAAGTAAAATTAATATTCAAACACCCTCTTCATACCACCCAGTAAATAGATAAAATATAATGTGAATTGCCGATAAGCATTCGCTAATATAAACTAGACAAGATGTAACTACCAGGAGAAAATTCAAATTAATGTGACTATGTTTTTGTATACGTGTACATTTCTCAGTTGATTGTTAGTTTATTATCTTCATTGCTGTGAGACTTTATGCATCAAATCACATATAAAATGCTACATTTGACACTAGTAGTTTAGTATTGAAATTATTCTCACTAAGATTATTTTTGTCGTCTTTTGTGTTATTATTCCTAAGTGATTATTAGTCTATTGAGAATAAAATGTTTGTTAATCATGTCTCTGTATTGATTCTGTGGTAGTTTTCGACATTACCAAATTTTTTCAGAACGCATTTAGTAAAAACTAAATACACTCGATTCTATATCCCTCAAGGCGGAGGATAAAATATTTTCTTTTTTTACTGAAGTATTACTAAAGTTCATAAGTTTGAGATTGATTAGTGTAATACAGTTCTGTCTATTCTTTTCGCCCTAAAAAGTTACTTGATTTAATACAACATGCAATATACATTCTGGCTATTTTCTAAACATTAAAGAATATGTTTGATCTTAAAGAATAACGTAGTAGATTTGATGTAGGAACGAGTTAAACTATACCTTACCTCTCATAATGAAATAATATAGGAATTTTAAGCTATTGATTACAGAATGGCAGAATTAAATCCAAAGTCTCAATACCTGTGTCTGTTTTTAAACTTGAGGCAAATATCGTTTTTAATGGTGTGGCTTTGAAGTCAAAAAGCAACTATTTTCAAATCACTTTAAAATTGTCCTCTGTGAATGGTGTTTAGATATCTAATGACAATTACAATGAATCCAAATGAAGTAAAATAACAGCATCAACGATTAAAATAGCACAAAGTGACAAATATATGTGGCGATCTCAGCAACTGTGACAACTACAGGGGAATCACTCTTCTTTCAATACCAGGAAAAGTCTTCAACAGGGTATTGTTAAACAGGATGAAGAACTCCGTAGACGCCCAACTTCGAGACCAACAGGCAGGATTCCGTAAGGATAGATCGTGCACAGACCAAATCGCAACTCTACGGATCATTGTGGAACAATCAATTGAATGGAATTCATCACTCTATATCAACTTCATCGACTACGAAAAAGCATTTGATAGCGTGGACAGAACAACCCTATGGAAGCTTCTTCGACACTACGGCGTGCCTCAGAAGATAGTCAATATCATACAGAATTCCTATGATGGATTAAACTGCAAAAATCGTGCATGGAGGACAGTTGACAAAGTCGTTCGAAGTAAAGACCGGTGTCAGGCAAGGTTGCTTACTCTCACCCTTTCTCTTTCTCCTGGTGATCGACTGGATCATGAAGACATCAACATCTGAAGGGAAGCACGGGATACAGTGGATAGCTAGGATGCAATTGGATGATCTAGACTTCGCAGATGATCTGGCTCTTCTATCGCATACGCAACAACAAATGCAGGAGAAGACAACCAGTGTAGCAGCAGCCTCAGCAGCAATAGGTCTCAATATACACAAAGTGAAAAGCAAGATTCTTCGATACAACACAACATGTACCAATCCAATCACAATTGACGGAGAAGCTTTGGAAGATGTAAAAACCTTTACATATTTGGGCAGTATCATCGATGAACACGGTGGATCTGATGCAGATGTGAAGGCACGGATTGGCAAAGCAAGAGCAGCATATTTACAACTGAAGAATATCTGGAACTCATAACAATTAGCAACCAACACCAAAGTCAGAATTTTTAATACAAATGTCAAGACAGTTCTACTGTATGGGGCCAAAACCTGGAGAACTACGAAATATATCGTCCAAAAGATACAGGTGTTTATTAACAGTTGTCTACGCAAAATACTTCAGATCCACTGGCCGGACACTATAAGCAACAACCTACTGTGGGAGAGAACAAATCAGATCCCAGTGGAGGAAGAAATCAGGAAGAAGCGCTGGAAGTGGATAGGACACACATTGAGGAAAGCACCGAACTGCGTCACAAGACAAGCCCTCATATGGAATCCTCAAGGTCGAAGGAAGAGAGGAAGACCAAAGAATACATTACGCTGGGAAATGGAGATAGATATGAGAAAAATGAACAAGAATTGGATGGAACTAGAAAAGAAGGCCCAGGACAGAGTGGGTTGGAGAATGCTGGTCGGCGGCCTATGCTCCATTGGGAGTAACAGGCGTAAGTAAGACAAATATATGTCAGTATAAGTATACTGAATATGTAATAAATTTCATACTTAAAATCATTTATTCGATTAGTAATTACTAAACATTCATTAATAATGAGTTGCAATATATTTCCGATTTACTAATAACAAATAAACCTTAATGATGTTTCCAGTTTCTGTACTAAACAAACACAGAGATATTGAGGAGTAGTTTCCTGAAAGAATATAAAAACAAGTAATAATATGAAGTTATCATTTTGACATACTTTACGTTTTTTCAGAGCATGTTGAAGTGGTGGAGAAAATGTAAAATTCATTAGAACGCATTTTCTAGAAGAAATAGCATAGTTGAAATTTTAAAAACTTTGCTGTTTTGCTAGACGATCTCCATAGAAAACTTTATCAGATTCAAACTGAATTCATTTCAGGTGTGAGTGACAAATTTTTCATCTTTCACTCTCCTTCAAATCTTATCAAACTATTACGAGAGAAATTGTCTAGAACTTCTAAATTTTATGAATGATTAAAATTTAAGACATTTGTACACTGTTTAAATGCTTAGACATGACATTATTCTAAATGATTTATGATCTAGTATGGGTTATACAGAAAGATCACATACGTCTGTAGTTATTTTAAAATACATCCGAATTTTCAACATATCTTTGCATTCTATGCATAGAAACAAGAATAAGTAACATCGTGAGTAGAATAGACTAGCTCTTTAGTGATATTTTCTTTATCAAGTGGAATGAAAATTAATTCATTCTTGTCCTTGTAATTTTGATAATCAAAGCCACACTGAAGATAATGTTGAAATCTCTATTTATAGAAACACAAGTTTGAAATGAATAATAATCAAAACAATAATCCTTCAATCATAGTTCATATGCAAACAGAATTAGTAGAACAATTATAAAAGATTATACTTTACCTTATACCATTTCATTCGACCGTCAATAATTCTTGAATTATAAATAAATAATTTAGAAACATTTAATCCACCATTCGGTAAAAAACTTATCGGTTCATTATCTACATTTACAACAATTGTATGCATAATGCTATAAAAGACAAACAAGATAAAGATACAACAAACAATCAAGTGAAATATCGGTGAGATAAATTAAGTTATCAATGCAAAATTCATCAATATTTAATCAGACAAATTGAACAATATTTAGAAATAATCGTCAGTTAGTTACACAATTTTCTTATGGAGAAACACGTTGTTTGTCTTTTTTTTAAAAAAATTATGTTTAATTGTACAGTGAAGTTGAATATGATACGTTTTTATCTCTAATACATATTTTCAATTTAGGAATAGTAGTCAGTTACTTTACATCTGTTGACTAACAGAAAAATACGATCACGAAAATAGTCAATTTCAAAAGTGGCAGTAATCTTTAACTCTTGTCAAGATATTTATTGATTATCAGCAGAAGAAAACTGTAGGAAACAAATTCATTAATAAACTGTTATTGTTTGTTTTTTCTCTTGGCTTCTGAAACTTTCCTCAAGCAAAATGACAAAATATGTTTCATGTGAAGGGGAGAAATAAAATAGTTTGACTTTACTTTTTATTATTTATACAATTACTTGACGTTGAATGAAAAAAGGAATTTTCAAAAGGATTTACTGATATAATTAACTTTTATATATATGAAAGAAAATCAATAATTCATAGAGTCGTTTCACGCTCTTTGTAAGTTAACTTAATCAACCATGAATTTGTATCAAACAACAGTTTTATCACATTCTGAAACTTCAATAATAGTTTACATTGAGTACACTGATATCAGGTAATGAAGTTATAAAAGCTATACGTTCTTGTCTAATTGTTGCTTCAAGGTTAAACTATGCTTATATGAACAAACTTTTGCCTACGTATACAATCGAAATCAATATTTTACCTCGAAACATCGTTTGCTAGTATTCAACCACATGGTGAAAATATGGTATTCCAGGTTGGTGTTTTAGTTACTTACAATAGATATTTTTCCGATTTTGTAATCAAGCACCTTCCAGTTCTAGACCTCTCAAGTTATGTTATGCTTACGGACGAAGCAAAACACTAATACTGCGTGAGTTGACATAATCCAAAAAGAACTATCTGAACAGCTTACCCATAGAGTTTCACAAGTGCATAGTAGTGCCAACATGTGATGGCATATACGACTGACCTAGTCATTGAATGACTCTGTTTACTGTATATATATATATATATATATATATATATATATATATATATATATATATATATATACCAGTAATAACGTATTTAATAGCACGGTAGTTATTGTTATTTCACATTAATGAACGAAATCGCTTATACCATGATAACGATTCCTGACTAAAACTAGACCCAAAGCTGACTGCTGATATTTCAAACTGGGAGTTAAATGTACCGAAATATTGCGACATCAATCATAAAAACTTTAAACAACAGATTCTGTTTAGCATTTACAACTTGGAGTTTTGGTTACATTATGCTTTGTATGAAATGTAATTTAATTCACAAAATTAAATGGTTTTCAAACCTTAAAATATTATCACTTAGAAGTTATAATAATCAAGATTATAACAATAACAAATCCAAACTTTTAAGAAATATTTCGTATGATAACAGTATTAAACCCAAATTATATAAAGTTCAAGGTTGTATCCTACTATGGGACTACATATTTATTGATATCTAGCGGGTTTCAGTCAATATATATAAAGTCTACTTATACTTCATTAAACCCAATAGTTGTAATTATAAAGACTATGTGATTTAATTATGCAAAGTACATCAGTGCAATTTATCCTTTTGCATATAATACCAGTAAGAGTTATTACATTTGACTCAGAAATCTTACATTTTGTCATTGCACATAAATTGAAAAATAATTTTATATAATTTCCTCGATAATATATGTCTATGAAAGTTTGTAATGCAGAATCAATTGATACTTGATAATCATAAATTATAGCGTAACAAATAGAAAGAATATTATATTTTAGTAAATGATTGAACGAATTGTGTGTGCGTGTGTGTGCATGTACTTTCGTTGTTTCGATTTTTTATTCTGTTATAAAATGAATATTAAGCACATATAATAGGAAAATACAAATACTTGGTCTAGCTATCTAACAGTTTGTTTGTACTTCGTTTTTACTATATGTTCTATATCAGTTGTAAAACTTAAAGGGAAGTTTCTTCGTAAACAATAAATCTTTCCTTTTCATCTAGTGCAGTTGTCTTTATCTTTCGATCAGTTATTAGATTTCTATACAATTACTACCCTTGTCTGTATATTTGATCAGGCAAACGAACACAACAAGCACGATATCTCATTGCCGTTGAATCGCCAAAAAATATCCCTTTAACAACATGTACTGTCTTCACAAAAAAAGTTTATTGTAAGTAAATTAAGTAAATTCGGTGGAATCATGAAATATGATACTGTGTAATTTATGAAAAGAAAGTATTCCATCTTTAAATAGTTCTCTACTTAGGCGATTTGTAAATGTTTGTAAACTTACGAACAACATAAAATGATCACTCAGTAGATTATGCTTCAATGAGTTACAATAAATAACGAAAGTCATCATTTTATTTGTGGCAGATAAAATGTGTCTTTTTAAAAGTAAAAATGAAAGTAAAAATTTTGATTTCAACATTGTCAAATGTGTGTACAAAAGAACCTGTTACAATAGATTAGTGATGTGATTAGATTTTTAGTTTTCTATCTTTAAATTATGAGAATGACTTACATCTATATAACAATAAATAATTGTCGATATGAAAAGTTTAAATTGCATTAACCTCTTAATAAAAACTCCAAGTTTCCCCTGATAAGCTATCAAATTTAATCTATTTATAGCTCATACCTTTGTAATAATAATCATGATGATAATAAACCTAGTCACGCTGATCGTCGCTACATCCACGTCGAGTAAATTCGCTTGCCTATCAAAGAAACCTAAATCGTAAATAGATTTATTCGATAGTATAGATTACTATGCAGTTTTAATATCTTCATTTATCTAATTAAATTAATCAGTTATTAAACGAATCAATTATTAGTTAGAATAAACTTAACCTCCAAACACAAACTTTTTCAAAGGAGCCGAATCGAAGATAGTTGTAATGCATCAGGTAATATGTTTAAAATTTCTATTGTATGTCGATAAGTTTGCTGTATATGTTCATCTACTTCGTTTCAACTCAATATATAGTTGAGAATGATCTACAGTATCAAACCGAGGTCAACAATATGATTTAAAAAACGGACATATCTAATCTCTATTTTTTACAAACGTTTTATGTTATAATGCTACATCTCAGTTCACTGATATCAAATTAATTATTCCTAGTAATATTGTTTTATCAGACTCATACTAAACAGAATGAAGTTTAGAGATAGAGTAAGCAATTTAATTGGAGTAACATTTATTGCCTAAATACTGAAGATTGCATTTGTATATCATAAGACACTATTATGATTAATATTACAAATACAAAGTCCACTTACTCATACATTCTTCTTCCCCATTGCCAACTTAAATGGTCGGAAAATTGACATAATTTAACAGGTCTAAGCTTCTCTAAAATCTGTTTAAAATAAATTAATGTATCTCTATTTGGCGTATCGATTTGTATTGATTTGTCTGGTGGATAGATTTGAGTCAACTGATAAATTAATTCAATCATTGATTTTTGCCAAACTTCTCGTGCTATTTCAGCACTTCTTCTACGACTGGAATGATCATTTAAACAAATTAAACCTTTTGAAAATAGAGACAAGAAAGAATAAATTCATTAAATGATTTTGCAAAGTAGTATGTTCATCAAAACATGCAAATTTTAATTAACAATGAAAATATTGATGATAGACTATTTTAGGGGCTATAAATTAATTTCGGCTGTCACTAAAATAAATGGAATAAATATGTAGTATACTATACAGTGATATGTTACAGCAGATGTATGCCACATAAAGTTTCCTATATTATTTTTTTACCCGTTCCCACTATTAGTTAAATAATTTGATAATGTCAGACTACAGCTGAATTTTATTCAATGTTCTTTGATCCATCACAGAAGTTTACCATTATGTAGTAATTAATCACATATTATTTGATCTGAAGTGCTAATTGAATTTTGTCGAGAGAGTTTGAGACATAGTTATTAGATCAAATAACCTTAAATTGCGATAGTTTACTTTATCCCAGCTCCTTCGAGATTTTAGATAAGTTGTGCTGGTGTATATCAATCAACTTGTAAACTAAGTTCACGTTTACATGTTGAAGTATCTGACAGTTTCATGAATAGCTAAGAAAACATGATTTTGATAAGAAATTCATAAATGATGCTCATATAAAGTGAATGTTTATAGAAATTTACCAGTATGTAACCTTTACAATGGAAGCTAATTTTAAGGTGGTTATAGCCAGGCATGATCGAAGAGACGTCTCTTGACGTTGACAGAGGTAAATACAGGGCTTTTTGTCGATTCTATTAATCAGTTCAAAGTAGATACCATAAGTTTCATTGTAAACATTCATTTCAATATCAATAAAAAGTTCAACTTTGTAGAATTATGTCAATCCAAGTCATAGCACGTTAGATCAAATCAATGAAAGGAAATTAGCAAAACGAAAAGCAAAGAAACTGAAACACCTAAATCAGCCTTATTGTAAAACTAAATAAAAATGAAACGAATAAAATCTTGGATCAAAAAAATATGAAGTTATACCATGTTCGAGATTTGGGACACATTAAAAATGAGCATATCTGCACCACTGTGATCATTATTTATTCACCATTCAAGACTTCCATCCATATGTTGTGATGATTTCATGAATCACATCCAGAAATTTAGCACCCCTCGAAACAATAGTATTGACCTTAGTAGTTGCATACAAACGAAGACGAAAACACCAAGTATTAACTGAAATGTTCGGGCAACTTTGTTTTCATTTATATTAAGCATCCTAGTCTCGAGTTCAACTCCATCCAACAGAAGCATCAATGTTAGTCTTAACACAAACATTTATATCCAAAACATAACTAATCACAACTTGAAAATTGTTTCTGAATAGCAATAAAAAATATGTGAAATTAGGATTACGGTCTCGTTATATCTACGCGAAAATGAAACAAATCATTAACGATTTCAAACATTCAAGGATTTCTGGGTAGTCAGGGGGTAAATATAAATGAAACCTCTAAAGTTATTCAGAATACGTATTTGGTTTCATAGTTTTTAGTTTCAGAATTTTGCACTCTAACAGAAAAATAAGTTATTTACGTAAAATTTGTTTAATAATATTCATTCAAGAAAAAGTCAAATAGTTTCGAAAATTTTTGTTTAAAGTAGTTCTTTATACTTATCTTGAATAGGTTCGTGAATGTATAAGGTTTATGGAAGTGTGTCAGTTTGAATATAGTTCCACTTATCAGTTATACTGGTTTAACAAACCGGGGAGCGGTCTACTGTCGTCTAATTCTTGCTTTGTACTACTCAAAAGTGCACACTTACTGTTCTGGTAATGATAAAATCCATCATCTTGGGTTATAATCAACTAGTTCACATTCACAGTTTTGGATAATTAAGTATAAAGGCCTATTATAATTCAAAATATATCAATAAGTCTTTAATCCATGAACGAAGTAACAGAAGAAACTTACCAAACATCCCGGGGATTTTTTTAAACATTGTCGATTCTGCAAGAACGTTATTATCAGATGATACTTTGTCTTGATTATCAGCTACCGTTAGGGAACTCATTGTTGACGGTGTATAAATCCAGACATAGTCTTCACCAAATAATGCTTTCAAATGTTCATGTTTTGTACCATTCAAACTATCTGCTATATAAAGCAGTGTATTTAGATCAAAGCTAAAGTGAAAATAAATTATTGTCTTTACATCGAAAGCATCAGTGAAATTAGTAAAAATATATGCACAGGTATATTGTAAATATTCTTAAGTAATTAATTATTTGGTGACTAGTATTCACACTATTAGATACATACATATCTATTGTTGTAAATCAAGGATCTACAAACTACGTGATTTTAAAGCAGATTATTCCTGTTTAACCAACCTCATTTCAATAAAATATTGGGTTGCGACCAGAGCCTGAAATACATAGGTGTATGTAATCTTTGGAGATATCACCAAAGCCCTCGATAAGACATTCCATCTGGGAGTGAAATAGTAAACTTTAGGAATCAGAGACGAATTTGATTAGTGTACTAAAAGTATCACAGTGAACGTTGACAACGGGTGAAGGTAAACAGTACTCTGTTTTCGTGTGACGTTGTGAAAGGTGGAATATTTCAAAGGATAATTTTAGGCTCTCTTTACCGTTACTCCAAATGTATAATCTACCAAGGGTTAAACAGTTTATCTACCTGATTGCTTACAGATGATAGTAAACTATCCAGAATTATAATCACTTAGTCTTGCAATTCTATATTGGATTTCAAGATTAAGTGACCAAATCAATTATCGAAGTGAATCGTACAAAAATTTTGAAGACTAACGTAACTATATAATACATTAGGGGCTTTAACTAAAGTTTATTGAATATAAAAGTTTAAAATTCATGCTGAGTAGTAGCCACAACACTAAAGACAACTGAAAATCAATATCTCCCGAAAGGTTCTCAGTATTGTGGAGACTTAGTAAAATTCTTCAGAATATGGATAAGGATGTACTCAGAATATTGTGATATATATATATATATATATATATATATATATATATATATATATATATATGAGACATACTTGGAATATTGGATTCAAGAAGCACTCCTTTATTTCAAATTCATAGTAAATAACCCAAAACTCGTTCAAAGAGGAGCGATAAAAATGTACAAAAGATTTCCATTCTAAATATGATAGGTGAAGAGTTAATTTTATATAAAGCTATCGTATATGGAAAGATCATTTTAGTATTAACATGTCGTATCTGTTTTTTTTAATACATTATTGATTATTTCAATGAAACGTTTTTAGAAACTTCGAAAACTAACATCAATATGTTAACATTGAAGCTTTCAACTTCTATACAAAATTTCAAATTATGAGAATGTTTATCAAAATATCTAATAACAGTATCTTTCAATGCACTCTAATATATATTCACTTATTAATTTGGTCAGAAATCGCGAAAACTGAGAGCTAATATGTTTAATTTGATTACAAAATTATCAAAGCATAAATGTTTTATGCCATTTACAAACGACTCTCGATAAAAATAATGTTCCAGTGACTTTCGAATTTTTAAAAAAAAGAACGACTTTTTGTTAAGATATCTGTTTATTCAAAAAAAAGATAAATCAAAAGAACCCTAGCCTTTACACATTACAATGTACTTAAAAAAACTAAAATGTACCGGTTACACACAAGAATAATAACATATTTTTTTAAAATTGTTAATTATAGTTTCTATGACAAATGAATGAGCTGTTTATTAGAAAATAATCCAAATTTTGGACTTTGAAAATATTCCTGTTTTATGGGGCTTTCAGATTAATCTTAGTTAGTTATATATCAACAAATGAAAACATTTTCTGATGATTTGAGAATACATGTGTGCCCCAGTCAACAGTGTAACATATGGTGAATAACTGATGAATTGATAACCAAATCTAGAAAATTAAACTTCTTGTATTTGCACAGCTGTGCAGTATTTTTCCTTAGAAAATACGGCTTTTTTTCTAAACATTTATACTGCCGAAAGTTTTCATTATATTTATTCAAAAGAATAAAGGTATTCAGAAAGTCTTGTAGTTCTGAAAACGTTCTTCATTATTTTTTGGACAAACAATAAAGTAAAAAGATACAGTAGTAAATAGTTTCCTGCTACAAATGTTTTTCGAGTGGTTAAATAGTATTGTAATACACTGATAGGCTTAATTGATGGATGTTACATAAATTTGTTAAACATAATTCTCGTTAAATATTTACTACATTACATTAGGTGATTTGATGAATGTGACAGAAAACCCTAGATTTAGTCTTCATATTGGTTTTAAGTTATAATCAAGGAAATATTTACAATCTTAATGGAATAAGTGCTTGCTGTCAAGTTGAAACAATTGTCATTCCAAAGTAATTGTCATAGAAATTATCAATAAGTCATCTAATTGTTTACTTATGAATTTAGAACAATGAAAATATATTTATCAATAGAAAGAAATTTCTTCTTAATAAGAGTTGTCTTCATTTGGTTGCAATCGAATTACGTAAATGAGAGTGAATTTTAAAGATAAAAATAAAATTAATTTTGACAGTAGCGTAGTGTTTATATTACAGTTATATATTCTGTATTGAATTACAATTGTTAAGACTAATATAACCCATATACTTATATTTATCTATCACATTTCATTATATAAAAACAGATCATCAAGTTACATCGAATTATACGAAAACTATAATCAATTCTACAAATATTAATAATAAGACATTCATCTGTACTTCTGTATATAAATCTCTTCTGATTATTTTTAAACAATCTGACAAAAGCTGATGTCACTGATGGATGAAAAATTAATATTACCGACTTCTCGATTACTTCAAAGAGCTCACCTCTAAATTCTTCAGCTCTCAACTAATTAACTAATTGAAAAACAGTCAATGGTATAATTGTATGGCTTCAACTCAACATTGAATGATGTAAAATTCTGTTGAGAAAAGTTTCAACTTACATGTGTACAGATTCACATAAGCAGGTAACAAAGTACTTTGATTTGATTGATTTCATACAACAAAATGTTCTGTACATTTTAAGGATAAATCTTTAGGTAATAAACCTACATGTAAGTCACCATTGTAAAATCGCTACATTTTATCCGGAAGAAATAGTGAACTCAATTGCTGAAGTTCTTGGCATCCGTGAGTGAAGTATGTTTGCAATAGTTAGAGATTGCATTGTCACTTTTATCCTGAAGCTGTTTTTGTTCAACAGTGAAACCCAACAGTTTAGGAATTTAACATTTTCAAATTAAGCACCAGGAATAGAAAAGCAAGATGAGCGCTTGCAAATACTACGTACTTCTCAAAGCTTTTTATTATCCAAATGATGGCATTAAAGACTAAATTTCATCACTATCTAATGGCATTTGTATATTGTAAATGTATTCGTTGATACTTTATGTAAATATAATTCTTCGGAAATCAACTAAAATTGGAATGTAAGACTCTCATTTCATCCTGTTTGGAACTCGTCAAAAACAAGCCAATTACGAGGTTTTCTTAAAAAACGTTATTTTAAAGTTCCTCAACTTAGTGTCAGAAAGTCACTTATTCACAGGTTGAGTGTATCATATAAAATGGTATCGATATCTTACATTATTACCATACCATAAAGGCAGAAATCGAATGCATTACGTATTTACATTCTGATGAAATGTTTTTTTCCGGTATAATAATTTGTTTTCGGAAAAGTTTTACATTATAAACTGTCGTAACGTATATAGTTTACAGCAGTCCCATGATATATCTACTGATATTAAATCATTATTACACTGAGTTGGACATATGTCTAAACCTTATTTTCTCTGCATTTAGCATTTTATTTAAAGCAAAAGTTATTGAATAAGTTGATTATATAACAAGTTCTAATCAATAAAATCAACTTACAAATTCCCATTGAATATAATAACTCTTGCATCGGCGCGCCATATACTTTCTAAAATATTAATTAAGGGTATTAAACATGGTCGAATCTCTCTTAACATTTGATTTATACACTCTGTAAATTCAATAGAAGTCAATCCTTCAAAAGGAAATTGATAATTTATTTCAAATCTGGAATATAAATGGAGGAAATAAATTTGAATCAAAATAAGTAATCTAACTAGGTATTCATATTGGCGACTGAATACACACCTAAGCATATTCTTATTTTATTTAATGATAACTACGGATATGTTTTAACAATATTGAATTGGGAGTTTGAGAGGTCACTTAGAATTTCACTGAAAAAAATTAATGAATTTAAAGTTGAAAACTGAAAAAGTTCGTATGAAAACTAGACAATCTATTTATAGTATGCTGTGATTTTTAACGAGTTTTTTCTACTCATTTGAATGCAGTAAGAATATATGACAAGATTAATTTGTCATTGTTTCCGGAATTTTCTCGAAGGATCGTCTTGTTAAATCATCGTTTTGTACTCGGAATAACGTACCGAATAAATCTTTAGTAAAGTATAAATTTATTCTACCAACGTTTAGACACTGTTAATAATCAAACTAAAACGAGAGTGTACAAAGAGGCGATATAAACATCCAAAAGTTCTATGTTAAGGAATAAAATAATCAGAAAATGAAAAGAGTAGCTCGGGGATCAGAATATGAAAAGATTAGTAATCAAATTGGAAAGGAAATATTGGAAAAAAATTGGCATAAAGTATAACAACAAAGGTGGTGATGAAGTTTTGGTATAATTATAGACCAGAGTTAAGAATACGTTTGTTAATAGTTTGATATTCTACATTTCTAGTAATAATACAGATTGTAGTTAGTTTTCACAGTGGACTTATTAGAAACTAGTTGAATCATAAATGGTTTGATCGAGAAAGATATAGTCGACGGTATTGCGTCACTTGTATACAATCTGAATTATTAACCATTGATCGTTAAATTAGTGATCTAAACCCATAATGTTTGTCACAATGATTGAAGTTCTTAATTTGACAATTATGAGGTGATTTACATTTAAATGTAACAACTCTTCTGGATTTTCTGGTTTTAAATGGTTCTGTTACTTATAAATTTGCGACTAAAACTAACTTTCAACATTTTGTAACTTGATTTTTTTTCTATTTAAAATTCAAAGCTGAAATGTATCATATTGTTTAACATCTACATGGTAGTGGAGAATCATCCTATGCTGTGTGTTCCCAAGCATAATCTAAACATCGAGCTGATTATCAATAACTTTCTTTTATTAGATAATGGATACCGATATATAGTTAACATAAAAAATAACAATTGTCATGAAACCTAGAATCAACAGTAGCTTTGTATTTATTTTATTCGATTGATGTGATTCTCATTTATGTTTTCAATATACACGATTCATTATAGTCCTAATATTAGTCATAAGTTTAATAAAACAGCAACTTACTATTGAAAACAATGATGGAGTAAAATAAATCAAAGACAATAGATTTATATTTACGATAAATTACTTACTCAAAATAATTTGGATGATCTTGTGCACTTCGTTCAACTTGCAGTTTTCTAATTTCTTCAACTAATACATCTGATCCAGGTACTTGTGTATTGTAGACCATAATTACAAGATTCCATTTGTACGCATGCATAAAATCAACCAATGCTCTTGCAACATGCCATGTTAAAGGTTCTAATCGAATGGCTAATTGTGAATCATCAAGCTAATTAAAGCAAAATTGAATTGGGAAAAGCAAATATATATGAATATTGTGCCCCATATAAAATAAAATTATACGAACGATAAAAAGTAAAGTGCTTGGATACTCTGTGGGTTATTTCATATTCTCAAAATCTCCAGTAAGAATGTCAATACTAAGGCAACCTGTTTTGAGCTTACATTCATTCTCGGTCGTAAATACCGTTTCAAATGAGAATAGATTCCAACGCATTACAGAACTAGTTAGTAAAATCCAACAACCATATATTAAATCGTTAATTTGCAACTTGTTCACCAATTGTCTCAAATGACTCAGAATTCCTTTGTTCTTACGTTTTCATACAAATTGCATTCTTTCTTTATTCTTTATTGTTCGATATTCTCGTCTCTCTGTTGCCAGACATTCTGTTCAGTACTCACGTCATATACTACTTATGTCTACATAAGTAGCACACGCCACAGCATCAGGACGAATGAGGTTAAATATCACTAGGCAATAATTGGACAAATTCTACAAATCATCAGTAGACATTAAAACTCTCGGGAAAACATTATACTTACTTTCCAAATTTCAACTGTGTTATTGAAGCCAACAATTTTTTAAAAGTTCTACCAGGTAAACATGTAATATTCAGTTTAGTGATCTTATAGTGTACACTACATGATTGGCCGTCATGGCTCGATAAATACCTATCCTTTATCATTTCATGTATATTTATCAACTATTAATAAGTTGAAAGGATTGGGGCTTAAACTCGTGAATCAGTCCTGGTGAAGGGTTCTAAACTAAGATGGGACATTTGTGTCAGTCCTTTCTGATTTTAAATTATTTTCTGAAACTGATGACCGTTTGGAATGAATGCTAAATTGGAATGGAAAAATATCCATGTTATACTGGTAATTTGGTTAGATAATCATTAACAACCTGACACAGATGAATACATCAATCAATTAACATAATACAAATCGAAATTCAGAAATAAAGAAAATTATGATTTTAACACTTGGAATACTATCATAAGTTTGTGAGCAAGTGTCCTGTTGGAATATCTGGACTACCTGTTCCCGCCATCTGGATATTTCAACAAGTTATCTGTTTTCTTGTTTAAGACATCATTATACCTATTCAGGAGCGTTTGTGAAACGTTTACGACATTTCATTGTACAAGTTACAAAAGAGCTCAATCAAAGTCATCACGGTTCCTAGCGATATACATCGAAAAAAATGTATATTATTCAAACGTCGATTCCCGAACTGCTAGCATCTAACTGGCGACCATTCTATATTTATCTCAAGGATCGATCAGAAAACGTGTTGAAATACTTTTTTTCTGAGAATTCTATATTGTACCAGAAATATAATATTGAATAAAGCCAAAAATAATAATTTTTGCTACAACAGATGTTCTCAAATACTGATATAAAGGAAAGCATTAATTTAGGAATTGATTCTTAATAGAAATTTCAAAGATATCATTCAATTTCACATGATTTTATTGATCAAGATCTTGAACCGATTGGTATAAGACCACCATTGAATACCTGAAAGCACTGGACGGCCATTTCTTGGGACTCTTCAGCGATGCTCATTCACGATCCTGCTCGCGGAAATCGAACCCAGGGCCTTCGGCCTCGCACGCTAAAGCTTAACCTACTTGACCACTGAGACGGCATCCAAAGGTGTCAATGTCTAACGTCAACCAATCCACGAAATTGCGCGACCATCTTCCATCGTAGATATCTGTCTCGACCCAACATGGAATAACGCGCGGATGTGCACTGCTAAGGAGTCCCACAATAAGACGAAACGGCAGTCAAGTGCTTCTAGGTTTTCAATGGTGGTCTAACATCAATTGGTTCAAGATCTCAATCAAAAACCTAATAATCTACGCATCCCTATATTGATAATCACAAGATTTTAGTTTGATTATCTAATACTTCATAGTATTATGTGTTGAGATGAATAACTAAAGTGTGTAAAAATAATCTCTGAAACGTAGTGTTTAAAAGAAACCTAATCACCATTGAACTTTTAGAAAACTTGTATTTGAACAATGTAAGTACTCTAAGTATCTTATATTTTAATCACTTTAAAAGATTTGTGTAAATTATAACTTTTAGTTGGATATCCATTTATAATTACAATCTGATTTATTTATGCGAACAATTGAGAAACTGAATGACTTTATATACATAATTTGCACCATTTCATATCCAGTAAACATTTTTCAGTTTGAATCTTAACTTACAGCTGAACCAATAGCTTCTATATTCATTAAGCTTTTTGCTACAAATTCATTTATTATAATAAAATTATTTATGTTGATGATCTATCATTGGCAATGAAAAATTATGTTTAGTAATTGTAATTAGCTTTATAATGATCACTACTGATGACATTAAATAATTAGTGGCATTAAATCCTACATGATATTAATTAGTTTCGGTCATGTTGGATATTTCACAACATATATAGGCTATATGAGAACGCATATCTTTCAATTTTTAATCAGTATAATAGTTTCCACGATCTCTTTATTTACAGATGATCAAAGTGTCTACACTTCATACTTTGTATAATCCAGTTGGACCGTAAAAATTTATCAGACCTCAACTTTTTCCAAAATAAAAGTTTTATCCCTTATGACAAGGGATTGTTCTCTACTTATTTTACAAATGGTCTGACAGTAAGCAAGTGGACTGTAGAATTCGAGACAAATTGTTTAAAAATATCGTGTGATGAATTGAAATTCAAGGGTTTGATTTGGTTCGTGTTTGTGAGGATTTCCAACTTAGAACAACAATATTTTTTAGCCTGTATCTATGATTTAAAAAAAACTATTATAAATTTTTCGTTCACTCCTAAAATATGGACTGTGTCGAAAATATAATGACGTAGTAACTTATAACAACGTGTAGTAGTGAAAATCACCGATCTATAAAGTTATATAATATCATTAGTAGTGAGGGAATATGCTTACGAAAAAAAATAAGCAAAAAGTATATCTAGTTTTTTTTAAAAACGTCTAAATAATGCATCTGGATATATGAATAAATAGGATGATTTAAGTCAACTTGACTTTGTTTTTTTTTTCCAATAGATAACTAACTAACTAACTTACGAACTCATTTAAATATATTTTAGTTCTGTTTACAACTTCTCCGAAGCTAACAAAAAAAAAACAATACGACAGATAATGTCTAATCAAGTAATCATAATTTGTACTATACACATAAAAAGTATTATTTTCTGTGTTATAAGTTAGAAAGTACCAAGCACATGATAAAGAAAGAAAAAAAGCGGATCAAGATCGTTAAATCACATCAGACAGAAAAACAAAACAAAACAAAATTAACCCTGTCGATTATTAATAATAGGGAAGTAAGAAACTTGATTTTGTACAACAGAAAATAAAAGCTTCAGGCGACAAAATATAAACTTGATATTTACTATAATAAATATTAAATTAAAATGCCAAACTGTATGTATATTTTTGTAAATCATATGATATTCAATAGTCATAATAAGGAATACATATTCATGAAGATTTTTTGGGTAGATGAAATGGAATATTAAATTTAGAAATCAAGCAGTTGTATTGTAGGCTGACTTGCTCTTCTGTTATTTTGTTAATTAATTTGTTATTACTAGATTAACAGTGTTACAGGTTTTGATAATGTTAAATTTATATATATATATATATATATATATATATATATATATATATATATATATATATATATATATATATATATATATATATATATATATATATATATATATATATATATATATTGAATGACGTTTGCTAATAGATACAAGTGATTGAGCCATGCTTAAGGAACCCAATATCAATATTTACCTAAGCTGTCAATACTGAACATTTAAACTTGATTTATGTTTTAGCGAAAAGCGATAATTCATTTAAGGCGTTAAAGGTGCATCTACTTCAATCAATTTTAACCGTAATTAAGAGAATATAGTCACACATGAATAAAACCTACACAGTATATAAGTATACGTACTTGGCTATAAAAACTCCGCCTGGAGCCCCTTTCCGGGGGCTACTGCCGGTCCCAAGCCCGGATAAAGGAGGAGGGTTGGGCATGGGGTTAGCGACCCCATCCCGTAGAAAACTAACTCGCTAAAAAAACGCTAACCAGAAAAAATTATTCAAACCATTTAAACTCTACCCTGGGAGTCAGGAGGTCTTCGTTTAGAAGAATTATGACGCCTCATGATGAAAGCCGAGTTTCTTCGGAAGTCACGAGGCCGATGCCCCTTCTGACAACCAGAGCAACCACTTATTTAGGTACATGGAATGCTCGCACGATGTGGGAGACTGGGAGAGTTTTCCAAATTGCTGCAGAAATGAGGAGATACAATTTAGAGGTGCTTGGGATCAGTGAAACACATTGGACGCAAGTTGGACAACAACGACTAGCTTCAGGGGAGCTGCTGTTATACTCCGGACATGAACAAGAAAATGCTCCACATACACAAGGAGTTGCATTGATGCTGTCCAAACAAGCACAAAATGCACTTATAGGATGGGAATCTCATGGACCAAGGATCATCAAAGCCTCCTTCAAAACAAAGAAAACGGGGATTACAATGAACGTCATCCAATGCTACGCGCCTACCAACGACTAAAATGAAGACGCTAAAGATCAATTCTACGATAGGCTGCAGTCAATCGTCGAGAAGTGCCCAACTAAAGACCTGAATATTCTGATGGGAGACCTAAATGCCAAGGTTGGAATCGACAACACCGGATATGAAGAGATCATGGGACGACACGGACTGGGAGAAAGGAACGAAAATGGTGAGAGATTTGCAAATCTTCGATACAACACAGTATGTACCAATCCAATCACAATTGACGGAGAAGCTTTGGAAGATGTAAAAATCTTTACATATTTGGGCAGTATCATCGATGAACACGGTGGATCTGATGCAGATGTGAAGGCACGGATTGGCAAAGCAAGAGCAGCATATTTACA